ACTGGGTGACCCCAGGCAAGCCATATTGTTAACTTTTGAGGAAGACAAGACAAACCTTTTTGTAACTCTAATGGTAATAAACTAATAAGGTTTGTTAATGAGTTATATAATGAATTACATTGGTTTTAAAAAGTTTTAAAAAGTAACCTTCCAAGATCCAGATTAGAGCTACAGAACAGCTCTTGTTCACTTCTGTTAAGCTTCACTGGAGAACTGACTTTGGGATCATCCATCATGCAGAATGATAGCAAATTAACTCCACTTTTACTATCCAACAAAATTCTGGAATTTGCAGTTTGCTGTTTCCCTACAGAAGGGGAAATATCACACAAAACTACTAATCTGAGGATGCCATGCCATTGAACCATTGCAGTTGATGTGGTGTCAAACAGCTATCATTCTGTAGTGTGGATACATATTTTCTGGATTGAGCCTAACATTAATTGATGTTTCTCTGTGTTTGTGCACCTGTGTGTGTCCATATGCCTTCACAAATAGCATTTGGATTTTCAGAACTCATCCAGGGAATAAACTTCTCAAGCCATCCGCTTTTTGTCCATCCGTCCCAAGTGTTTCCCTCTCTCTCCCCTTCTTGCTTTCTCTGAAAATAGAAGCAGTGTCTATTTTCGAACCGGAAATGTGGAGGGAGGCTGGAGGGAACCGGAGGGAAATGGTGAGGTAGAGAATTTGGCTAAGGTCAGTGGGGGTAAGAAAAAAATAGAGCCGTTTTTACACCTGTCGCAGTCAGTTGAGCAGGTCTTGATGGAAGGAAATGATGAATCGCGTGCCATTCTCTTAGTAGTAGGAGAAGGACCGAGGTTTCCTCTCCTCTCTTTAGATTGGTTGTCCAAAGTAAACAAGAATAGATGGTGATTTAGAGGGGTTCTTCCTTTAGAGGGTGAGCATTTGTCATAATGGTTTATTGGATATAGGTGTCAGACTTATCCCAAGGAAGTCTGGTTTCAAATTACTGCTCTGCCGTGGGAGAGTCCCATGCCTCAGCATAACCTGTTCCACAGGGTAAAGGGTAAAGGAGAAACTTGATGTTGATCCCTCTGAAAGGACAGAGGTAGTAATCAACAGATTAAAATCAAGTTATGAATTTAGTTGGAAGTTTTCAGATGAAAAGGAGGGGTTTGTTTGTTTGTTTATATACCGCTTTTTTCAACCTAGGGAGACTCAAAGTGGTTCACAACATAGTAATGACAAAATTAAATGCCTCACATAAACATAAAATACATCACATATCTCAAATAACATATAGCTGTAGATTAAAACCATTAAAGATGTAAAACATGAGACATAGACATAAAACACTGGACGTTGCACCAATCCCGAGGTTGTCATTGATTTCACTCCCTGAATGATTGCTTGAAAAGCCAAGTTTTGAGTTGTTTTCTAAGTGCTGGGTGTGTGTGTGTGTGGGGGGGGTAATCTAATATTGTTGTGGAGGGAGTTCTACAGCCGAGGGGCCACCACTGAGAAAGCCTTGTCTCTTGCCATTCGTACCTGCAAGGTGGTGGGACCAAGAGCAGGACCTCCCCAGCTAATCTTAGTGCTCTAATTGGCACATAAAGGGAGATGATTTCAGAGAGGTAAGCTGAACCAGAAGTGTTTAGGGCAGTGGTTCTCAACTTGTGGGTCCCCAGATGTGTTGGCCTACAACTCCCAGACTGACACAACGGGGGGGGGGGGGTTGTATGCTCCCTGTGCGCCCTCCAATAAGAAATCTGGCTGCCACCCGTTGGAATAATTGAAGCTTCCAAACAGTCTTCAAAGGCAACCCCACATAGAGAGCATTGCAGCAGTCTATTTGAGATGTAACAAGAGCATGGACCACTGTAGTCAAGTCTGACTTCCCAAGGTATAGGCACAGCTGGCGCACAAATTTAATTGTGCAAATGCTCCCTGGCTACTGCTGAAACCTGAGGTTTTAGGCACGGCAATGAGTCCATTATACTGAAGCCATTGACTTAACTGGAATTTCAGAATTAACATTTCCCCAGAATAAAGTTATTGATGAAGCTAGTAATTCCAAGAGCCACGGTGCTGAAAAACCAATAGATTTTATATTATCCCGTTAATTTTTTTAACAAAAGTTTTGATCCTCTTGTATTTTTGTCAAGTAATGTTTTTCTTTTTTTAGAGGTGGAGGAATGACAAGTTTTAACTCCCCAACAGTAGATTGGAAAGATGGGGCAAGAATCACCTATACCAGATGGTTCTTCTGTATTTCACAGCAAAGGATACCTCATCTGTCCCACAAAGCTGAACTTTGAAACACAAAACCCTGGGATTTTTGCTGGAATCCACCTGGGATTTAGGAAGCTCCAAACAAAAGGTGGGAGGGTGAGGATAAAAGGTGGGACCACGGTGGTGCAGCAGGTTAAACTCCTGAGTTGCTGAACTTGTTGACTGGAAGGTTAGTGGTTGAATCCATGGGACGAGGTGGGTTCTTGTTGATAGCCCCAGCTTCTTCTAACCTATCAGTTCGAAAACATGCAAATTTGAGTAGATCAACAAGTACTGTTGAAGCGAGAAGGTAACAGCACTCCATGCAGTCATGCTGGTCATGTGACCTTGAAGGCAGCTACGGACAACGCCGGCTCGTCGGCTTAGAAATGGAGATGAGCACCACCTCCCAGAGTCAGACTCAGCTAGACTTAATGTCATAGGGAAACCTTTACATTTACCTTTAAGGATAAAAATCCATGCAACTATTTCTTTCTTTCCAAAGTTTAAAATGCAGGTATTGAATGAGTAAAATAATGGATATTATTTTTCTCATTTTTTCCTGTTAAATTTCTTCATGTAGTAAGGTTGCTTAAGATAAAAGTATGAAATTCACAGACTCACCATAAATCGGCAGGCTACTTAAAGGTGCACATATACACACGATAAGAAAATAAATAACTGTAGAATGGAGCTAATCCTTTTTTAAATAGAATTTTCAGTTGAATAGGTGATACAGTAAGTTTTATCAACATCAGACTTAAATAGTAGTGGTTTGAGAGTTGGACCAGGATTCTGGAGACCAGGATTCAAATCCCCACTCGTCTTGCTAAAACCCATGAAATGATCTTGAGCAAGTCACCCTCTTAGCCGCAGAAAACAGCCGTGGATCTTATGGTCACCCTAAATTGAAAATAACTTGAAGACACACACTACAGCCAAGACATTATGAGTGAAATTTCTGTTGAAATGCTATTTCAGATTTGCCTGCTTTACACAAGAACAAGTAAAGTGTTTGGTTACATTCTTTAAGATCCATCAATATTTTTTCATCTAAGACGATGAAATTAAGTTTAACACTGAATGAGCACACAAATCATGTTTTTAAAAAATATTTCTGCAGAAAGAACTAAACCAGTGGTTCCCAACCTTATTTTGACCAGGCACCACTTGACCAGGGACCACTTTGACCAGGGACCACTCTCCAACATTTGTACCAAAAGGTTTACAAATCAGTTTTTGGTCAACTTTAGATTTAGTTTGGTTATTTGGGGCGCTGATTCAGAAAATTGCATTGGATAGACCACATCAGCTCTTGTTTCTGATACAGAATATATGCCATCCAGTAGTTACCTTCTGCTCACTCATAGAAAACCATATTTAATAAACTAAAGTTGATGTGGTAGTAGTAATCTTCCATGGGTAATCAGCCTCTCCTCTTCCAACATCCCCGTTGCCTCGCCACTGTAAGAGGGTTCCGCGAGATGAATCGCTCTCATTGCTGCGTGGTTTCGAGGCAACAGTCTAGTAATGGTAAGGTCCCGGACCATATTTTCATTCTTGCGGACTACTGGTGGTCCAAGGACCATAGGTTGGGAACTACTGAGCTAAACCAACTGGCTAGTTGACTCAATTTACAAGAAACCAGAATGAACTTGTTAAACTCAATTTCCTACCTATCTGAAGTCTACAACTTCCTCTCCACACCCAATAAAAGCTCTCATTTTCACCAAAATCTTACCTCTTTCCCTCAATTATTCTTAGTCACTTCTGTTAAATGGTTCACTGCTTTACACTTTCTGACTCAATACCTCTTTGAGTTAGGTCCTTAATTTTGTTTTACGGATGCAAGAAAGTACAGTAGACAAAAAAGCCACTGAATGCTAAATCTGTCAGTGTTGTGGAATCAGAGACAATAGCTGGAACCAAGGCAACTACTTTAAATTAGCATAAGGGTACACAGTTATAGGTAAAGATTTTCCCCTGACATTAAGTCCAGTCGTGTCCGATTCTGGGGGTTGGTGCTCATCTCCATTTCTAAGCTGAAGAGCCAGCGTTGTCCATAGACGGCTCCTAGGTCATATGGTCCGCCTGACTGCATAGAGTGCCGTTACCTTCCTGCCGGATTGGCACCTATTTATCTACTCACATTTGCATGTTTTCAAACTGCTAGGTTGGCAGAAGCTGAGGTTAACAGTGGGAGTTTGCGCCGCTCCCTGGAATTGAACCTGCGACCTTTTGATCAGCAAGTTCATCAGCTCAGTGGTTTAACCCACTACACCACTGGGCCCTACATATCACTGTTGGGGAGTGCAAAATCCATAGCTGTTGAGATAAGCAACCATTCAACTAGGCAAATGTGCTTTTCCTAGTTAGCGGCGGGAGCTGCCCCATAGTTTCTTCTGCTTGTAAGGAATACTTAAAAAAACCACTGATCTGTCATTGAAATTCTGGGTTGTTTTTTTGTTTGTTTTTTTTGCACCTAGATTAAAATCACCAGAATTAAAATTGTCATCTCTACAGTCAATTTTATCTGAGACCTCTTTGCTAAGATTTGTGAGACTTATCTTCAGTGCCCAAGCTGGAGACACTCAATAGTTGGAGCCCTTGATGATATTTCCTTCAAACGTACTTCTGTTGTCCTGACCTCTCCATAGCTTGTGAATGGGAAATGTATTGAATTGGAGGCAAACCAGAGATGTGATATCCTTCTTCATTTTTCTCTCCTTCCCACTCCACCCCTCCCCTCTGTCTGCACCACTAACTAGGCGGATGTTCCCGTTTCTGAGCTTCAACATCTCTGGGCTGGACCCTGTGGCCCATTACAGCATCTATGTGGACATTATATTAGTCGACCAGCACCATTGGCGGTACCAAGGCGGGAAATGGGTTCAGTGTGGAAAGGCAGAGGGAAATATGCCAGGTATGATGGATAAATATCTTCTCCTTCTTCCTATACACCACTTTTCCTTTTTTCACCCTCTTCTTTTCATTGTTCTGTCTGTTCTTTCCATGTCAGCTTACTTTCCCTGATCCTATTGCACAGCAACAGTAATCTGCCTGATGCTCTTCCTAGTTAACTGAACTAGACTTGAAGCTGAGACCTGGCTTTGGTAGGACCTTTCCATAGTCCAAGGTGGACAAGTTCAGCCCTCAAGATGTTTTTGGCCTACATTTTCCACCACCAAATACCAGAATATCTATAGGAGGGGACTGTCATGATTGCATTCAACAGCATCTTTAGGAAGTAGTGATAGGGTGCATATACAGTTGTAACCTTACCGTCTAAACAGTTTAGCTGACCTCTGACTCAAAGAATGTTATCATTTACTTATGGCAACAGTTAGGAAAACCTGTCATGTGTTTGACTTACCAAGATCACCGAGTAGGTTATCATGAGCAAGCGGGGATTTGAACTCTGTTCTTCAGAGTCATATTCCAACACTCAAACCACTACATTATGCTTGCCTTATTTTTTTACATTATACTCTCCTTATGGCAAATGTCAAGACATTTTTGTGGCACCAGGCTTTTACAAATCAATGAGGATTGGGCTTTTAGTTGTATATGCTACTATTTTTAGCATTTTTCAAGGTTAGTACAGTCATCGAGTTAAAAACATCTGACTTACAAAGGATTCCTAGTTAAGAATGGGGGTGAGACAACAGGAGTTGAGAGAAATCTATTCCTCAGGTGGGAAATTCACTCCTGAAAGTGTTATCATGGGGAAAACGTGTTTCCACTGAAGCTTATTCACCCATACCTTGTTTCCAAAACAAGCCCAAATTTTCAAAATCCAATGGTCACAGGTACAGAAAGTGAGGTGAAATATTCTGAACAGAGGCACAGACAGCAAAACAAACACCACAGGGGTGTTAACCTTTCCTGATGGTATCCACAGCTAATTATATACATATATTTATCAGGAGGTACACTTAAAAATGTACCTGTACTGACTTACATGCAAATTCACCTTAAGAACAAACCTACAGAACCTATCTTATTCATAACTTGGGGACTTATTTATTATTTTATTTGAAACATGTATACCACATCCTTCTCGACCTCCATGGAGGAACTCAGAACGGCTTCCAAACAAGCAACAATTGATGCCAAACATAATATAAAACACATAATAAATAATCAACAAAATTACAATAATTCTAAATATACATTAAGAACCCGCTCACCAGATTAAAATCACCAGAATTAAAATAGTCATCCAAAGCAGTCCAAGTCCGGTCCAGTAAATCTTGTCTTTCCCAGTAAACAAACTATTCTGTGACTGTCTGTATATTGTTTTTAAAACATGAAATTTAATATTTTTAATACTTAATGTTTTAACATATAATCTTAAACCATTTATTTTGAAATTGTTTTAGCTGCCTTGAATCCCATATTTGGGAGAAAAGTAGGATATAGTAAATAGTATGACATGCTCAAAGCATTGGGACATGCTAGCAAAGAACAAATTAATAAATCCATTTAACTTTGTTTAACTTTCTCTAAATCTCATTGAAAAGATTTGGAAACAAAGGTGCCTTTCCAATATCCACAATCTGATAACTGCAGTTTGCTACCTTCTGCTGTGAAATGCCATCCTGTTCACAGGAACGATGGCACCATCTAGTGATGTGGAAAAGAACTCCATCATCTCACCATTAAAAATACAGGTTGCAAATTCTACCAATTAATTGTAGCGCTAGCCATTCTCCCTTGCATGCTTCAATGCTTGTTGTATTTTTTTTTTTTCATGTCAGGAGCGACTTGAGAAACTGCAAGTCGTTTCTGGTGTGAGAGAATTGACCATCTGCAAAGATGGTGCCCAGGGGACGCCTGGATGTTTTACCATCCTGTGGGAGGCTTCTCTCATGTCCCTGCATGGGAAGCTGGGGCTGTATTCCTATCCCAGCATTTGGAAGAGACCTGCCAAGGACAAGTAACTCACCTTTTGCAGTTGCCATTAGGACAGAATCATATTCCTAAGCAGTTGGTTGCTTGGGGGAAAGGAATCCTATGTATTAAATTTTGGAGTCAGCTAGATAATATTATGTGAGCTGAAAGCATACCCTCCAAGTATCTTAGTTTGGAAGGTACAATCCCAATTAATCCCCTGCTTTTCAGTTACTTTTTTAGAGTTATGGTTTCTTTCTTTTCCTGCCACTTTCTTCCTTTTTTCTACATCTTACTGGCAGTGCTGCAAACTGAGTTCAAAGTCTAAAAGCAGTTCATAATGAACTCCAGAAGAGGATCGGGGGGGGGGGGGGGGGGGGGGGGAGGAGATTTCTTTTCTTTTCTAATAGGGTGAGGCCAGAATAAACTCCTGCAGACTCCCTTAGCTTGTGTATTATTTATTATTAATAGCTCTTGCCATCTTGACCACATTCTGATGTTCTAGTTTTCATCGGTGAAATGTTGGAGCATATTTGAAAGTTTCAATGAAAACAATGAACTACTGATAATCCCACATGCCAGTAATCGTGTGGAATCTTGATGACAAGGAAGCTGAAGTAGTTTCAAATCAGTTGAGTCCCCTTGGGGAGATAGGGTGGAATACAAATAAAATATTACTATTATTGTTATCATTATCATCATTATACATGTTCAAAATGCAGACATCCTCATAATTCCACACTAGACCCTCCTGTGTTTTGCTCTTCGTTGCTTACCAGAGATGCTGTCTTTCCGGCAGGGAATCGGACCTATATGCACCCGGATTCTCCCAACACAGGAGCCCATTGGATGCGGCAGGAGATCTCCTTTGGGAAACTGAAGCTCACCAATAACAAAGGAGCATCCAACAATGTCACACAGGTGATGGTGGTAAAACTAAATAATTTTGTTAAACATCCTCCTCCCTCAAAGATTGGTTTTGTGATTCCTAATGGGGTGGTGCTCATTTCCATTTCTAAGCTGAAGAGCCGGCATTGTCTGTAGACACCTCCTAAGTTATGTAGCCGGCATGACTGCATGGAGCACTGTTATCTTCCTGCGAAAGCGGTACCTATTGATCTAGTCACATTTGCATGTTTTCAAACTGCTAGGTTGGCAGAAACTGGGGCTAGCAACGAAAGCTCACCCTGTCCCATGGATTCAAACTGCCAACCTTCTGGTCAGCAAGTTCTGCAGCTTTGGGATTTAACCCTCTGTGCCACTGCAGCCCATACATACACACACACACACACACACACACACACACACATGCACACACACACACTTTGCATATATTAATTAATACAGTTTTACCCCCCATATCGATGTCTGACAAAATATGTACCAGTGTAACGGTAAGATATTCTTGAGACAGAAGCCTTTCATTTCAACAGGGTTCACCATTATCCATGGTTATGTGAAATCTTAGAACATATCCTCTATGGGAGGTGGGGGGGGGGGGTTGTACTGTATAATTCTTAAGCCATTATTATTTTCAGTGTATCTCTTCCACCCACTCTTTCTTTTTTGTTTATTTGTAATATAACAAACAGACACAAAAACACACGTACATATACACACACATACATACAGGGGAAGGCCCAAATTCACAAAAGGGTTTCAATATTTAATAACTCCTTTATTTTTTGTTTTTAATTTACAATATCATAACATTATATGCAGTATAGATAGGACATAAAATTACATTACAAATCATGTAGCATATTTTCCATTCCCTTCCCTGCAAAAAAAGATTATAAAAATATCAGATGCCTTTGTTAATTTGGCCTACCCGGTGTGTGTGTGTACACATACACACACAGACCATTCCCAAGTTACAAATATTTGACTTACAAACGACTCATAGTTAAAAATGGGACTGAAACAACAGGAAGTGAAAGAGTTATCTCAGGGAAAAGGTGTCTCCACTGACGCTTTCTCATCAATCCTTGTTTCCACAAGTCACATTTTTCAAAACTCCAATTATCACTGAGACAGAAAGTGAGATGAAATCTTCTGAAAGAGACAGCAAAACAAACACCACAGGGGTGTTAACCCTTCCCCATGCTATCCAAAGCTAAGAAATATACATTTGGCTGGAGCTACACTTAAAAAATGTATCTGTTTTGATGTACATGTACATTCAACTTAAGAACAAACATATAGAACCTATCTTGTTCGTGACTTGGGGACTGCCTGTATATCACACACATACACACACAGCCCTATCTTTCTCTGTCTTTCAGTTGCCTTGTAAAACTAAATTAAGTTTATCCCATTGGTCCTGTAGATGGTTGTGTTGCAGTCTTTGCACAAGTATCAGCCCCGCCTACATGTTACTGAAGCTAAGCCTGGTGAGCTGGACGAGGCGCACCCTTCCATCTGCACCCAGAGCTTCACCTTCCCAGAGACACAGTTCATTGCAGTTACAGCCTACCAGAACGCTGATGTGAGTTTACTACAACATTTACCATTGTTCTGCAATGGAAAAGCTTGGTGAAAAGGTGATGCCGTGATACCCTTTGACAACAGAGTACCATCATTGTGTTTATTATACATGCAGCTAATAGGATTCGATCTAAAGCATGCAGTGTAGTTCTGTCTAGGGGTGCATCTACACTGTAGAATTAATGCAGTTTGACTCCTAAGACTCAATAGTATGGAATCATGGGAGAAGTCATTTTATAATGTTTTTGACTTTTCTGCCAAATTACAAATTCATAAATTGGTGTGGCCATAGTCCTATGATTTTTTTTCCWTGTTAGGAGCAACTTGAGAAATTGCAAGTCGCTTCTAGTGTGAGAGAATTGGCTGTCTTCAAGGATGTTGCCCAGGGGATGCCCAGATGTTTTACCATCCTGTGGGAGGCTTCTCTCATGTCYGTGCAAGAGAAGCTGGAGCYKACASGTGGGARCTCACCCCRCCTCCCRGATTYGAACTGTSAACCTTTSKGTCAGCAGTCCATCTGGCACAAGGGTTTGACCCATTGCAACACCAGGGGCTCCTATGATTATGAACTACTAAGAGGTTAAGTTACACCACTGGTGTGAGCATATTTCTTACATTATGTAGTTATTGGCTGGCGTTCTGTACTGCAGAGTTACGGATCCTATATGCTCCATATTCAGTAAGACTATGTAATATGCTCCAAATTCAGTAAGACTATGTAATCTTATTGTAAGGCTTTGTAGATGCACTCACAATATCAGCTTAACAGCTAGCAGCTGTGTTGGGTAAAGCCAATCCATTCAGCTGCTCTCTCCCATCAGTGAGCAAGACTGTGATAATTAGAAGCAGTGCTCCTATTGCAATGTATTATCGCACCTGTTAGGAGGAACCTGGAAATGTCATCCTCCTTGTACCTGGCAGTTAAGGTGAGATCTTGCCCCGGGGGGGGGGGGGGGGGGGGGGAGATGTTAGGGCCAGGAAAGGTTTCTTAGTTAAACATATATGGAATACTTTGTTATTGTAACTTCGACATTCATGGTAAGGAAGACTTTGCCACGTGCCAAAATCATATGGTGTGTCTAAGCTTTTGTTGCTTAACTTCATGAGAACTGTATTGCCACTTTCTCATTTGTATCTCCAGATCACCCAGCTGAAGATAGACCACAATCCTTTTGCTAAAGGGTTCCGGGACAACTATGACTCGTAAGTCTTCCACTTGTAATCTATAGTTAAATTAGATTGGATTAGATTAGATTAGTTGCTCTTTATGTAGTGTTATTTTGGATTATTATATTTTTATTTATTGTTATTGAGGCATTGAATGTTTGCCTTTTTGTTTGTTGGAATCTGCCCTGAGTCCCCCAGGGGAGATAGGGCGGAATATAAATGAAGTTGTTTATTATTATTATTATAATTATTATTATTTTACTGACACAAAAACACAGTATGTCACAGCAAACGAGATCTATATGCTGGATTTCGTATCACAAAATCACAAGTTGAACACTTCCCAAGCATCTAGGACTGTGTGATGTATTATTATTATTATTATTATTGAAACACAACAAGATTAGTACATAGCAAACAAGATCACTTTGCTGTCTAACACTTCCCAAGTGTCTAGGACTGTGTGATGTATCGGCAAATAATGCGTGCAAATCTCAGTAGGGTGGCCTTTTGCAGCTGACAGATGGTAATTTTGTCAGTGCCGATTGTGTTTAAGTGCAGAACAAGGTCTTTAGGCACTGCACCCAGTGTGCTAGGACCACCTTTACTGGTTTGTGCCAGTCTTTGTAGTTTGATGTTTAAATCCTTATATTGTGTCAGCTTTTCCAGTTGTTTCTCTTCAATCCTGCTATCACCTGGGATTGTAACACTGACGATTCATACTTTGTTTTGATTAATAATATTTTATTAATAATATTTATTAATAAATTATTATTATTATTATTATTATTATTATTATTATTATTTAGGTATATGTAGGCTGCAAGGTAGGATGGTTGGCAGTTTCCAGATGTTGTACTTAATCCTTCATTACTACTTTGCAATCCTGGCAAAAGTGCAAGAGAGCATCATCAGGATTTTCTAGTTCATTTTAAAACCTTGAAGATAATTCTTTGTAATCATTCAATTTAGAGATTATACCAAATCGTGTGGTTTTTAGTTAACTATGATTTAGCATGTTTTCATAATTCCAGATCATGACTTTGTAATGGACAGAAAACAAGGGTAATATTGCTTGTCTACATTAGTTATATATTGCATCTCAGATCGCAAGGCTGCAAGGTTTGAGCGAATGTTGGTGCACAAACCAATGGCTTTCCAAACTATGGTTTATGTTAATGGTGGTTTGTCCTGATTCCCTAATTTCAAACATGGTTTGAACTATCATTCAACAGCAAACCATAGATAGGGAAGCTGCGGTTTGTAATGGACATGCCAGCCTTGATTTTGTGCATAGTGTCCAATCTCGCCATTCGCTCAAGTCTTCCTGATTCACACTCCACTCTCTTTTTACTTCTTATCTTCCCTCCAAGGATGTACACCACCACAGATGGAGACCGCACGACGCCATCTCCACCCAGTGTTGCTAATTGCCAGCAGCTCCTCAGTGGAGGCCGTTTCCAGCCCTTTTTGCATGATCAGTACATGCTCCCCCAGAGTCGTTTCTACAACAGGGAGCGTGCCCCACTCCCACTGCCACCCAAGGATACCCACCACTGGTATTTTGCTTCACAACAGCCCACAGCTTCTCCTCTGGAATATGGCACATATGAGGGTGACTTCAGAGGGAACAAATTCATGCCCTATGGGGTGAAGCCCTTTGCTCTGCAGGCCTCTCCACACCCATCGTTGCCCTACTACCAGGAGCACCCCTTTGGTCCCTCTGCTACCTGGAGTTCCCCACCGCAGTATCACCATCCCAAGCCCACTCCAGGCACCTTGAGCTGGTTCCGGCCCATGAGGGACTTGCAAGTGGTGGCCCCTAGCGATGAGAAGGGGAAGGACAACGAAGTCTGGGCTGAGCTGGGCTCAGTAAAGTCAGCAGATTCCTCAGACTCTGGGTTGTATGAAGCAGAGTGTAAGCGCCGCCGGGTGTCTCCTTACGTCTCCAGCGCCGAGAGCTCTCCGCCTATTCGCAACGGAGAGCTCTATGACAAAGAAGGTGGTGACGGTGGTTACTATGGCTTTTATGGCAACTGAAGAGGAATAATAACTTTCACAAGAAATGCTGGTGCTTGGAAGTATTACCTTTTCAGACTTGAACTCCCCAAATCCTTCAGGCCACAACGGCTTGGGGATTATGGGAGGTATAGTCCAAAAAGTAACTGTCATGTTCTAGGAAAGGAGAGGAGTCCTTCGGAACACTCAGCTCTCCTGCACTCATATCAGGGGTACCCCACATGATGGGAACTCCTTCTTGTTTGAGGGAAAGGTATGCACCTTTGTGAGCATAGCTGAGAGTATTGCTAGGGCATAGAATAAAGTTCTTTCTAGTCAAGTGTCCCCTTTATTCCGCAACTTCTAGTGTTAAGCACCGATTCACATGGACCTTTGTGAACAGAGGATATGCAAGGCCACATGACTTGTGTGCCCAGTTACAGACTCTTGAAGGGCTTCTTTTGCTCTTGTATGGGACAAATGAGAAGCACAGACATGCACATTTAATAGTAGGATACAGACAGAACCCACCTGCAGTGTTATCTTCACACTTCTGTCCCTATCTTTGTTTAATTTGGGGGCTGTGCTATTTCCACATACCTAAGAGTAGAGTTGAAAATAAATTCCTGATAGATTTATAATTTGGCCAAAGTCGTGATATGAAATTCAACCTGAAAGCATCCCTTAAACACAAACCCCTAATAGAATTGTAATACCATATTTGCTAAGTGTCACCTTGTTGGCCTTAGCCTTCTGAATTCATTTAAGACCATCTATTCTTAGAAATAGACTTGTATGTATTGCAACCTGCATTAGGAACAACAAGCCAGAGCTTGAAGAAGTTACTTTAGGGCAGTGGTTCCCAACCTATGGGTCCCCAGATGTTTGGGCCTTCAACCTCCAGAAATCCTAATAGCTGGTAAACTGGCCAGGATTTCTGCGAGTTGTAGGCCAAAACACCTGGAGACCCACAGGTTGAGAACTACTGACCTAGGGATTACAACTATCAAATCTTTCAACTAGCATGGCCAATTGTGATCTAAAAAAGTAACTTTTCCAACCTCTAGCAGGCATAAGTTCTGCTGTTTCTCTCTCTGCAATGTCTCACTTTGACTGGAACGTTTGTGGTGTACATTTAATTATATGTTCCTCCCAGTTGTTTTTTTGCACACCTAGGCACACATGAATGCTTCCTTTATACTCAACAATGCAGATCAGAACAATTACGTTTAATCTCTGATCCCCACCTCTGACTTTAAAACAAAGCATATATTCAATATTATGGTGCAGTTGGGTGGTAACACTTCAGAATTATTGCTAGAGAAGAATCAAGAGGAGATTATTATTATTCAGGACAGGCTGAAATAAGGAATCTCAGGTGTAAATACGATGTATTTTGAGTTAAGTTCAGAATGCACATGAGGGATACACAGATGGTCTCTCCATGCTGCATTGATTTCAATTTGACAGCTGGTTAAGCTGAGATGAACATCTATGCACTGCCATGAAAAGAGAATATGCAGGACCAAAAATAAAAAAGGACAAAAACATGGGTCGGATTTGTCTTAAAATTGGCCACCATCATTTTGGTTTGTCCCAAGTAGGCAAACCCATTTGTCCATTGGCTCTTCCAGTCAATACTAACATCAGGCTTGACAAAATCGATATGCAAGTGTGTTCTCCATGTACCTTGTTTACAAGAGGAACCATACTTATGGAAACCTCTTGCTTGTAAACAAGGTATGTAATGAATTTACAACTTGTTTCGGTGGATAAAGTCCTTACAGTAATGGAATTCTGCCTCTATAGGTTTCAGGATTGGTGTGATCCCTTTCATTAGCACAAAATTGTCCTCATTAGTTAAATAGAGCAAAATTTAAACTTGCCATAGTGAGGAAGAAGGACTGATCTTAGTCTGTTATGCACATGCCACTTATTGATGGGAAGCTTCAAGCCTGCTTGTTCTGATGGGTTGATTGACCAGAATCCTGTATGGAAGTTGCATTTCAGAACAATAGACTTACTGGGCAGTTCCATAACATCTGTATCTAGTGGAGGGCTGCTGTTACATTACTCTAGCAGAGCTAGCAAACTGACCAATGTGCAGTGGAATCAATTCTCATTGGATACCAATGCACCTCTGTTTTGATATGCATTGAACACCCATTCAAATGGACATTTTTGTTGTCCCGATGTGCATCTTCACACTTCACCACCAGGGTTTCTTAGCACCTCTGTAAAGTTACATTAATGATATAGGATCTGGTGCTTATTTTCAACTTGGAGTAGGCAGCCCTTCAGATAGAGGACTCCTCTCTGTAAAGTGGGATGTAGTCCTTCCTTGGCTTTAACATACAGTACATACATCCTTCTTGTTGTGGAGTCATGCAATCATCATTTTGGATGGATGCAACTTTGGAGAAGTGGCAAATGGGGTGATACACTAAGAAAACAGCTTCTTGTCAGGAATTAAAAAATATAATTGCTCTAAGGCAGGGATATGAGGCTCTCTAAATGTTGCTGGAATGCATCTTTCATTAGTACCAGCTAGAAGTGATGAGGAATGCTAGGAGCTGGAGTTCAACAGCACCTGAGTTTATCACACACACACATTGTTTTGAGGATTAAAATCAACGTCTAATGAAGTGTCAACCTGAGATGGGCAAAGTATCACTCTCCTAATCTTGCTGGACTTGCAACTGAAATAATACCTAACTGTTATGTGCTGGTTGTGACCAATGAGTGCTGTAACCCCAGTAACATCAGGAGAATGTCACATCTCCCAGCAAACTGAACTGCTGATTTAATATACAACCTATTATTTCTGCTAGTTGCTTTTCTCACAGGACACTTTGACAATGTGGGACTTCTTTTGCTAAATGTTCCAAGACATGGTCAGAGACATGGTTCTGTATTGTGGCTCCCCTTCTACACTGCCATATAATCCAGATTATCAAATCAAATAATCCAGTTTATCTGCTTTGAACTGGATTATATGTGTCTACACTGCCATATACTCCAGTTTGAAGCAGATAATATGGCAATGGAGAAGGGGCCTAAGTGATACAAAAAGACTCGCATGGCAAGCTGCCCTTGAAAAGTAGCAACAGAACAGATCCTGACTGTTAACTTGTATGCTGCAAACACCTACCTACATTCTTTTTCTTTTTGCTCCTAAAATATTAGGGAATAGTTCTTAATTTTAGTCAAAAATAACCCAAGCTATTACATTAATTTGATACACAGGGAAAGGTTTCTCAGGAATCCATCCTGTGCCAATCTCCAAAAAACCCACTTTGAGAGGCACTGTAAGGGGAAACAGAGTACTAGTAATCTTTTAATAGAACTGTAAGGATTATCCCTCAAGACTTGTGGTCAGGCACTTTAACCTTTCAGAAGTAGTTTGACTTTGAACAAGTCCCACAGTCCCTTAACATTGGCTATAACTGTTAAGGTCAAACCATCTGGCGTGTCAAAGGTTGGGCTAGTTGTACAGCATTCACCTTGATGTTCAAGCCATATTCACACCTGAGAACATGCACTCTAGCTTTGGAGAGATCTCCAAAGTGCAACAGCAAAGGGAAATGTGATGTATCAAGCTGTTATTTTCTGCATGTCCAGTTGAAACCAATCCATCACAGGTTTTGCCCAATTCTGGTCAGTGTTTATAAAATCATAACCCAGCGTTATGATCTAAGAACTTTGGAGAGTCATGTTTATCGTTATTTGTGACCAAACATGACCCACAAATTCTAGCTCCTTAAGTTAGGCAAGATGCTGGCAAATGAAACCAGTTCTCTCCTGGTTTCAGCGCATGTTGAGATAAGCAAATACAGCAGGACACCAGGGAATCTCTATGCACCCCATGATTGGGAGCATGCTGTATTCATCATTGACGAGCACCCTAAACTATATGATCTTCAAAACTCTTCACTTGGGGCTCTGCCAAGCTTAAGAGGTTAGTTTTTGAGCAGTGGCAGAAATTGCTGTGACTGAGCTCTATCCTTGCTATGTCTGATTATGCAGGACCTTATCCATTACTCCTAAAGCCCTACCTATTTATTTAGTGGATCTTCTCTAGTTAGTAATAATGACTGGATTTTGGCTATGATGTATATTTTTATATTTCAGACTCTTTGCACATGCACCCAGCCTCTTCTCTTACAACACATTCACCCAGAAAAGTTTTGACAATGTATATAAACCCACATCCTGGAAAGACTTGATGGTCATTTGGTGAAGCAAATTTAATAATGCTAGACAATCAAAAGGGTTTTTATCTTCCCTCTTAAGCACTCTGCAGGTCAGCCTCTATGGGGGGTGGCGGGAGGGAGAATCAGGTTCAACTCTCTGTTTACACTTGTAAAACAAAAAAAATGTAGATGTAAAAGACTGAATGATTTTGTGGTGTTTTGAGGTTCTCTTTTTTAATTTTATTTTTCCAAGGCCAAAAAATAATAATTCTTGATTGCAAATATTTATTGAAAGTTGTGTACAGATACCCTGTTTTTGTTTTGGCTGAAGAATTTCTTTAAATAAACTGTAAAGCCATGAAGTATTTGATTGTGTCACTAGATGAACTTTTGTGTACAGAAATCGTCCATATTTGTGCCAGAGATAGGGAATCTTTGTCCTTCTGGATGTTTCAGATTTCAGTTCCCAATACAGTAGAGTCTCGCTTATCCAACATAAATGGGCTGGCAGAATGTTGGATAAGCGAAAATATTGGCTAATAAGGAGGGATGAAGGAAAATCCTATTAAACGTCAAATTATGTTATGGCTTTACAAATTGAGTACCAAAACATCATGTTTTACAACAAATGAAGTAGTTCAGTACATGGCAACGTTGTTGTTGTTCATTCGTTCAGTCGTCTCCGACTCTTCGTTACCTCATGGACCAGCCCACGCCAGAGCTCCCTGTTGGCCGTCACCACGCCCAGCTCCTTCAAGGTCAGTCCAGACACTTCAAGGATGCCATCCATCCATCTTGCCCTTGGTCGGCCCCTCTTCCTTTCCCCAGCATAATTGTCTTCTCTAGGCTTTGCTGTCTCCTCATGATGTGGCCAAAGTACTTCAACTTTGTCTCTAGTATCCTTCCCTCCAATGAGCAGTCGGGCTTTATTTCCTGGAGGATGGACTGGCAACATTATGTAGTAATTATTCTATTTACAAATTTAGCACCAAAACATCGCAATGTATTGAAACAGCTGTGGATCTGGGTGGGAGGCAAACTGCGTTGGATAATACAGAATGTTGGATGAGCGAAGATTGGATAAGTGAGACTCTACTGTAGCTCCAAGCACCATGGTCTATGACAAGGGGTTGTGACAGTTGTAGATCATAGAATGTGGAGGGTGGAATTTCTTACTCCTGATATGTGCAATTCCACCATCGAGCAGAGAATCTGGGTTTGCTTCAGGGTGTAGATGCTGGAAAGTTGTGTGAACAGCAGATCAATTTTAGAAACATTTGTGTTTCTACGTCCCTTAAGAAACAAGATGCCACTGCTCAGAGTGGCATCTTGTTTCTTAAGGAACTGGAAGGGGGAAGATATCTTGTTCATCAGAAAATAAAATGTTTCGGGTCTGCCTCACCCTACATGGGTACCTTCTGAGAATTTCCAGCAATGCTGTCACAACATATACTGTAGATAGCACCCGCTACTGTATGTTTCTATCATTGCTGGTACTTGAAACTATTGTTTTTGGCAAACAGAATATTTGTCCTTCTAAAGGTAAGGTACAGCAGCTCTGAACATTCCTCTCCACAACCAAGGCTGGCAACAATGGGAGATGAAGTTCAACAACATTTAAAGGGTCATAAATACCACCATCTCCTGCTCTACACACACAGTTACTCTCCATTATTTTTAAAAGGAAATAGACCAGTGTTTCACAGACTCTGATCCTCCAGGTGTTTTGGACTTCAGCTCTCAGAAATCCCATCCATCTTACCAGCTGAAGTCCAAAACATCTGGAGGAGCAGAGTTTGAGAAACACTGCAATAGACCATCTCCCACACCGAGACTTCCTTAACAATGGAGAGTTCTTAATTGCTGTGAGATTTCCAGGCTGTATGGCCATGTTCCAGAAGCATCCACTCCTGATGTTTCACCCACATCTATGGCAGGCATCCTCAGAGGTTGTGAGGTTTTTGTAAGTTCCAGGTAGCATGCAGATGTTAACTTTGGTCTCTCGTTCTTTTGGGTGAATGCCAATAAATTGAAAGAGAATTTGGGTAGTGACTACTTGTGCTACACAATGATAGTGCTATGACTCCACTTTAACTGCCATGGCAACAACCCATGAAATTCTGGGATTTGAAGTCTGATAAGGCACTTCGAGCTCTTTGGTTGAGAATTCTAAATATCCTCTCTACACTGCCAGTCCCAGGATGCACAGGATATTGCCAAGATAGTTGAAATAGAATCATATTGCTATAATTGTGAATTGTGACAGGGACACGAGTCTCTGCTTTTTCTATCCCTCCTCTCTCACTCAACTGAGCTGCAGCTTTGGCAGACTCTGAGTTAGATTCAAGTATGGCTGTCTCAATAACAATGGAGCCTCTCCCTCCATCTCTTCTATTGGATTAGCTAGAAAGGTCCATTCAGACCCCATTGGATTTCACTACTAATTAATTAGAGAATTCTCTATAGCTGTTGGAGTGCACCTCCAATGAACCTTAGCCAGCATAGGTAATGGTAAAGTGTGGCAATTAAAACACAACATTCCTGCTTCAAGGCAATAGGGTTTCCAGTGCTATCTTCACAAAGGATAAGCTGCTTTTGGCTTTGAACTAATCCAGATTTCAAATTGTATCATGATGAGTTACAGTAGTTACATCTGTCCAAAAAAACCCAAAAAAACAAAAAAAAAGAGTTGGTGTGTTTTAATAGAGAGCAAAGATAGACTCTGTTGTGATTGTATGAGTAACGGATTGCTGAAATAATGCACTTTTAGCATTCTGGATCTTCCCAAATCTACTTTGGACCTGAATCCTTCATGTTGTGATTAAATTACTATAGGAAAGGAAAGCACACCTGAGAATATACATTGGTTGAAAGTATGGCTGCCAGAAACGTGAACTTTCTGAAACCTTAATTTCTGTTTTATTGGACACGCCGTGGATTGTTCAAGCCACAACACAAGACAGAACAGAGGCCAGTCAACACAGACACAATAGATGATAGAGCAGCGACTCAAGACCGGTCCAGCCGGGTGAGGCAAATGAGAACAGGCCAACCTGCGTTGCAGGGCAGACAAAACACCAAAGATGCCCAGCACACAGAGGGATGGACAGAATGACAGGGAGATTTTTGGGGTGTGTTAGGTAGGATATTTAGGAGGGAGCAGGACTGGGGGTGGGGGCACAGATGATGAGAAAATAATTACAAGTACTCGTACTTCCTTCCATGCATGTGTTTTTGCAACTTTGAGCAGATGGCTTGTAAAAAGGAATCAGAACTTAACCCCACAAACCAAAAATGAGTATCTTGATCCCTAATGCAATCTAGGAATCTTGACAGAAAGAAAATCTTCCCAATCTCCTCTCCTGCTGCTTAGTATCAGACTTGGAGTCTTATAAACAACTGGCAGAATCCTAAGAAGTGCAGCAGTTTAACACAATCCTCAGTGAGGAAGGAAGCCACAATGCTTTGCATGCATTCAGTCAATGGTGTCACATCCCTTCTGATCCACACTAAGTATCAGGGTCTGTCAATACACATAAAAGTTAAACAAAACATTTATCCACCCAAGGACGAAGTGGTGAGGTGGATTGTAATATGTTTTTATATTTTATATTGGTTGCTTGGAACCAACTTTGTCTTTAAAGACCTTTGGTAAAAGGATCAAGAAAACAAGAAGGAAAGTTGTATGACCAGCAAGGCTGCCCTATCCCCAGACAAGGAACCTATAACGCAGTGGTTCTTATCCTGTGGGTCCCCAGATGTTTTTGCCTTCAACTCCCAGAAATCCTAACAGTTGGTAAACTGGCTGGGGTTTCTGGGAGTTGTAGGTCAAAACACTTGGGGACTCGCAGGTTGAGAACCACTGCTATAAGGACTGTGTTTACATTGAACTGTCCCGGTGCTGTTACAAAAAAGTGTAGGGCAGAAAATTGTGGCAAAAAAATATTTTTTGAAGTAATGCCACAAATCTCTTTGCTAGTATGGCCATTGACACACTCACTGTGGGATCTGGGGTTTTATATTCAAAGTAAGGAATATTTGAACAAAGGATACACATTTTCTTAACACCAAGAAAGCTTAGGACAGATGTACCACATGGAAGAACACGGACAGTGGTCTTGGCGCTCTAAATGATGCATGCTATACATCTGTGCCTGGATGTTGTAGAATTATATAAAAGATTTCGACAGCACTTTCTGGTCACTTTCCTTACTGTAGCTTGGGCACATGAAATTATGGGTGAAAGAACAGAATAAACACACACAAATTGGAAACATAAGTGTAAACATAGCTTTGCATTCAGGGGTGGGAAAGGGCCCTCCTGAAGTTTTGGACAGCTCCCCAAATCCCTTACCATTGGCCATGCTGGCTGGGATTTGTAGTCCAAGACATCTGGAAGGCAAGGGACCTCCTACCCCACCCTAGATGTATACCCTGGCATGCTCTGCAGTCCTCCCAAACTAAACAATGTCCATTGATACACTAAGATTCAGCACACCAGTGATTGTCAAGCTTCTTGCAGCCTAGAGATGATTGCTGGTGAGCTGTCTGTCGTGAGTCACAAGATGGGAGGGCCTGTTCTAGATACAACCAGAGGTTACTTTTGCTATTCTTCTTCTTCTTGTTCTGAAACAGGACTCAGATGTTTGGGTGTCTCAGAATTATATTCTCCTTTTGGCATAGCTGAGAAATAAACTAAAAACATTCCAACTGATTTTCCTTACCCGGGGCAGATACACCCAGAGCCCTTCCACACAGCCCTATATCCCAGATTATCAAGGCAGAAAATATCAAATTATCTTCGCAATCACATCTCGCTCTATGAACCAGCATGAACTTTAATATCTTCCAGGGAGGCCCTCCTTTCGCTCCCACCACCATCACAAGCACGGTTGATGAGGGTGAGAGAGAAGGCCTTCTCAGTGGTGGCCCCTCATCTCTGGAACGCCCTTCCTAGGGAAATAAGACAGGCTCCATTCCTCCCCTCCTTTCGTAAGAGCCTGAAGACCTGGTGGTTTAAACAAGCCTTTGAGAACGACTAGTTCTAGCTCAGCCCCAGATACTCTTGAATATGGCCATATCTTTTTCTACCAATTACCCAGGTTACTTTCTTCTATTAGGCCCCGGATATGAACAGCCATAGACTCTACCTAATTTCCCAGGCCCTCTACAAATTGCACTAGCCTTGGCCCGGCCTTTTAAATTGCCTTGAACAGGCAGGATTATTTTAAATATATATGTGCTATTGTGATTCTTTATGCTTATATTGTCTTGTTAATTTTATGTTTATGCTGGTTTTTTTGTATGTATTGATGATGTTACTTGAAACCGCTCTGAGTCCCGTTGGGGAGATAGAGTGGTATATAAATAAAGTTTTGTTGTTGTTGTTGTCTGAGTGTGGACTCAGATAACCCAGTTCAAAGCAGATATTGTGGAATTTTCTGCCTTGATATTCTGGGATACAAGGCTGTGTGGACGGGTTCCCAGAGAGAAATTCTTTCTCCGAACTCATGCTTATATATTTTGTTCATCTGGCCACAAACTCCACTCCTTTCCTTTCTCTCTCTCTCCCCCATTTACTTTTAAGCTCAATCACAATCAAGACATGTCTATCTTTGACAGACTCTGACTGATGCTACGAATAACCAGAGTGAATTCCACTTTCCTATACACTACTGTTGGAAATACCAGGGGTTCTTCCCCCATTCCTCAACTATAATTATTGCTTCAAATTCTGAAGGAAAAGTGGTGAGACGGGGAGGCATATATCCTTGTCAAAAGGGGGGAAAGGACCAGAGACAAGACCAAATAAAATAAAATAAAAACACACACAGTGCTGGTTCAGTGTTACTTGCCCTCATGGTGTTTGAGCCTTAATATTCTCTACTTGAAGAAAGTCCTAGCTTTGCCAAAAATGGAAGTATCATGCAGGCACCAAGTAACAGCCATCCCTGGAATGTACCGAATTTCACCCCAAATTGTTGTCAAAGTGCGAACAACTCCCTCAAGAGGAGATTAACGTCTCCTCGGAGTGCTACCAAAGTTCCCCATATGATTGGCTCCCACAGAGGGGATTTCTAACCACGCTCAGGCCTTACCTCATACCAACAACCAGAAGGAGACCTGAAGAAGAGTTCAACTCCTTTGAAAAGGAAAGTGGTACAAAAATAACCCCAAAAAAGGGTGCAGGGGAAGGGGACGGACCAACAACTACCCTAGAAGGCAACTGCTAAGTAGTTAAAAAGAGCCCAAATGCCCACGTTCCAGACAGCTCTGCAGAAATAGTCACCCCAATGCCCCATAGTTGTTCAAATGTGTGGTTCTTGCTGTCATATGAGCAAAAAAGAGCAAAGTTTGAAAGTCAGTAGAGCTTTCCCCCCTCATTTGCAAGTTACTCCAGGTCCTTCAGTCTCATTTGCCTCATCGTGTTTGTCTTGGCCTCTTCTGATCCAGGTGGTGCTAAAGTGCTTCCTGAAAGCGACTGTGGGACAATCCAAGGTACCACCAGTAATCTGCCTGGCCAGCAGGCAGCAGTGCGAGAATGAGACATGGATGGTGGCCACTTTTCTCAAGTGTGCAGGCATGTGAGAGGGTTGCTTTGGAAGTGCATGGCGTAAACACCTAAGAGAGAGTCTCCCCTCCCCACCCCTCCCCACCCCATCCCACCCCCCTGCAACTTTATGAGGTGCTGGTATTCCAGGATGGCATGCCTCAGTCCTCTTGTGCTTAATTGTCAGGGAGGGGGCCTCTATGGCCCACTCCCCCCACGCTTTGGGAGATGGCAGAAAGGCACGGCTGCTCCTACAGATGTAAGCGGCTACCACAAGACAGCGCTGTCCATGTTGCTAAAGCCAGGTTCGACCCTCAGCTTCCAGTAACTGCTGTTGCTCACCCAGGATTCCTTGCCATTGGCATCGACTTGCCGCCTGCCAGGAAGAAGAAAGGAGAAATCTTTAACAGGTAATCACAGGGCGAGTGGAGCTTCTGGATCTATTACCCCATGTGATGTCATTCCATTGCAATCTATGTCCTATGCCTGCTCTTCTTTGGCAGCCATTTGCCCTTTATTGGTGTTATCTGCGTGCTCCACATCAGGCAAATAGAAGAGTGCACCACGCATTACTGTCATGTTTGATGGTGCTACATTTTTGCATTTTATGATAAAGATAGTGAAATGCTTGACAAAAATCCTAGATACCCTAGAAATTTTATTCAAAAACTAAACTGAAAAAGAGTCAACCTATCCACAGGTCAGTGTGATCCACAGGTCACACTATCCACAGGTCAGTGTGGATACTGTATCTTAACTCTTATCAAGGACTACTCCCTTATCTGAGTGGGGACGAGAAACAGGGCCTTCTCGGCGGTGGACCCCCGCCTGTGGAACGTGCTTCCAAATGAGATACAATCAACCCCATCCCTCCTGGCTTTCAGGAAGAAAGCAAAATTGTGGTTGTGGAACCAGGCTTTCAGTCAGCAGGCATAAATCAGCACTTTAGTGGGAATGGACTGGAAAGGCGATTTACATGAGGATACGATTTTATTGGTAATTAAGGCTTTTATACTGTTTAATTAATGACTTATGTACTGTATGTGTTTTAATGGTTTAATGGTTTTGTTTTAATGCTGCGTTTGCGATGTTGGTGGAAGCAAGAGCAGAGCCTCCCTGGATGATCTCAGGTTATGAGGTGGGACATAGAGGCAGATGTGTTCAGACAAGTAAGCTGGGCCAGAACCGTATGTCTATATAACTGTATTTTTTCTCAAATAAAAGTTTATTAAGTTCAAAAAAGAAGAACTTCCTGACTGTGAGAGCTGTTCAGCAGTGGAACTCTCTGCCCCAGAGTGTAGTGGAGGCTCCTTCTTTAGAAGCTTTTAATTAGAGGCTGAATGGCCATCTGTCAGGGGTGCTTTGAATGCAATTTTCCTGCTTCTTGGTAGGGGGATGGACTGGATGGCCCATGAGGTCTCTTCCAACTCTATGATTCTATGATTCTATGACTGAAAGAGGATTTGAACTCAGGTCTCCTAAGTCCTAGTCCAACATTACAAGGCAGATTACATCCTTTTTTTCTTTTGTCGTGTCAGGAGCGACTTGAGAAACTGCAAGTCGCTTCTGGTGTGAGAGAATTGGCCGTCTGCAAGGACGTTGCCCAGGGGACGCCTGGATGATCTGATGTTTTTATCATCCTTGTGGGAGGCTTCTCTCATGTCCCCGCATGAGGAGCTGGAGCTGATAGAGGGAGCTCATCCGCCTCTCCCCGGATTCGAACCTGCGACCTGTTGGTCTTCAGTCCTGCCAGCACAGGGGTTTAACCCACTGCGCCACCGGGGGCTCCTACATCCTTGGAGAAATACTAATGTAAAGATGAGAAGGATAGTATGACTGGGCCATGTGTGTGCCAAGCAAAGAAAAAGACATAGAATCTACCTGAAGAATCGTGCCTGATGAAGAATGTTATTATCCTCCATCACCCGCCGCCGGTCTCTCTGTAACTGTTCAATCCGTCGCTTCTGGGACTCTGCGGCCTGCGCATTTCCCTCTTCTAAGTACCTGGAGAAAGTGGAGGTGAGATATGGAAGTTGGAGACCTTTCAGTTTACACAAAATACATATTTATTGGACTTTGCAGACAATAAATATGATATGAATGGGAAAAGTGTCATTTGCCTTGACTGTGTCTTTCTTGATTCTTTTTGTGTGTGTGTCTTTCCTAATTCCACACTTTTATTTGCCTTATTTTGATACTTTCTCTGCTCTTACCTTTGGTCAGGCCTCAGCCGTGTGTCTGTGGAAGGCAGGAGGCGCTTAAGCTCTGGTGTTAACTCATTGAGTTCCAAGGCAAACTGAGTGAAGCCATAGTTCTTCTCATAGTCCCGAGGCATGGGATCTGGAAAAAGGAGATGCAAGCAGGGAAACACATGAGAACAATGTAAACCATTTCCCTTGACAATCCAACACTGAAGATAGGGTCATTTTTACTCCAGTCCCTCAAAGCCATCCCAAAGCAAGTTGGTTTGGTTTTTCATCATGCAAAAAGGATTCAGATAAAGATTAAAACAATGTCTTCATCCTTAAACCAGAGAAACTATCATTCAGTCTTGACCATCAGGCCTTCAAGTTGCCTGATGACTTATGGCAACCTCAAGAATGTCATTGGGTTTTCTTGGGCAAGGGATACTCAGAGTTGGCTTTACCAGTTTCTTCTTTTGAAATATAACCTACAGCACCTAATATTTATTGTTGCTCTCCCATAGAAGTACTACTTAGGGCATAGACTAAAGACACCAGAAGAAATCTGGTGCCTTTAAGACGGTGGTTCCCAGTCTTTTTTTAACCAGGGACCACTTTAATCAGGGACCAGTCTCCAACATTAGTATCAAAAGGGTTATGAATTAGTTTGTGGTCAACTTTAGATTCAGTTTGGTTATTTGGGGTGCTGATTCAGAAAACTGCACTGGGTAGACCACATCAGCTCTAGTTTCTGATACAGAACATATGCCATCCAGTGGTCGTCATCTGCTCACCCACAGAAAACCAAATTTAATCAGCACTATAAGAGGGTTTCGCGAGACCAGTCGCTCTCATTACAACAGTGTGGTAATGGTGAGGGTGAAAACCATATTTTAGTTCTTGCGGACCACTGGTGGTCCATGGACCACAGGTTGGGAACCACTGCTTTAAGATATGGATATCAATAAGCTTGCTAGTTTCCACATTTTTAAGGGTGGGGGGGGGGGAAGAAACATGTGCTTTCAGGATTAATAATGAAAGCTAAGAATATGGTCTTTTTTTAAAAAAAATTGCACAATGTAACAAAATTCAGAATTTTTTTCTGTTCCTTGTTTGAAAGTGTTATTTCCTGTTTAATTGTGCAGTACACACTTTGAAAGTAGTTGTTACACTCCAGAAACTTTGTTTTTGTGGCTGCCACAAAGTATGTTGCATTGGTTGAGACTATCAGATTTTCATTGAAAAACTGTAGCAAAATGTGCTTGCTGCAGGATGTGATTTTCCTGCTTCTTGTCAGGGGGTTGGATTGGATGGCCCATGAGGTCTCTTCCAACTCTATGATTCTATGATCCTAGGATGTCTGGCAAAAACAAAGTTTTTGCAGTTTAATCAACTTTCCCTATGTTTTTATGGTAGAACCAATTAGGAAATTACATTTATAACCCAGGATCAAAAACTGTATTACAGGAAAAATAAAATCCTGATGAGAAAGCAAGGTTCCACAAATGTCACATTCACAGTTGCTTCAGAACTGGATATATTTTATGATTTTTAAAAATGGAGGTGGAACTGTATGCCAGATTTTCCTGTTTTACGTATCCTTTGACTACATCAGTCATACAATGGCTATACAATGTGTTTTCAAGACATCAAACAAACAAAAACAAATATATCCAAAGATCAGAGCCATAGAAACTTTCAAGCAGACTCAACCATTATGGGAGGTGAGATCGTGCCCATCCCCTTGAGGAGGACAGGTAGCTGTATTTTCCCATCTGCCTACTTCCTCAGTGAGGTCAGTTCCTTACTGGGCCTCCAGATGCACTTGCCAACAGGGGGCACACCACGGTACAACCCATCGTGCCACTTCCCGAAAAGGCGGTGGATCACTTTGCCGCTGTGGCTGAGAATGGCGCCCTGCACCTCGTTGACCCCGGAGCCCCAGTACCGTGCCTGTTGGAGAGGAGAATGGGGTAAGGGCAGTGAGAATGGTTTCATAAAATCAAGCAGGAATTGGATCAAGGGTGAAAGGAGGGAGAGAAATTGAAGACAGGGAGAAATTCCAAAAACCCTAAAATATTAGAATTAGCTACCATTTTAAAGGAACCCCCAGTGACACAGTGGGTTAAAGCACTGAGCTGCTAAACTTGTTGACCGAAAGGTCACAGGTTCGTATCTGGGGAGTGGTATAAGCTTCTGCTGTCAGCCCCAGCTTCTGCCAACCTAGCAGTTTGAAAACATGCAAATGTGAGTAGATCAATAGGTACTGCTCCGGCGGGAAGGTAACGGCACTCCATGTAATCATGCTGGCCATATGACCTTGGAGGTGTCTATGGACAACACTGGCTCTTCGGCTTAGAAATGGAGATGACCACCACACCCCAGAGTCGGACATGACTGGACTTAATGTTAGAGGAAAACCTTTACTTTTACCTTTTACCACTTTTAAAAAGACAGAGCATTAACACTTGCGCTGTTTTGTGTGTCATGTGCTATCAAAATATTATTCGTGTGCTGAGGAGCTTTTAGGGAAAAAAAGTTGTTATGTGCATTCAAGCTGACTGCAACTTTTGGTGATCCTTTCATAAGGTTTTCCAGGAAATACTTAATCAAAGGAGGCCTGCCATTGCCTTCTCTAAAGCAGAGAAGATGACTTGTTCGAAGTAACTCATTGGTTTTCCATTTCCTTGATCTCTCCCAAGTCCTAGCTCAGCACCGTAACCACTACATCATGAAAAATACTTTTGAACATGGCCAAATAACCCCTCTATTAAAAAAACAAGCAATTTTTGGAGTAATGAGAAGATACTACTCAAAAATAATGTGTTGGCAATAATGCTAATCTAGGGAAAACAGAACATTGTTGTTCTTGCTGTGTGCCTTCAAGTCATTTCCAAATTATGTTGACCCTAAGTTGAACTTATCATAGGATTTTTTTGGATCTGGGAGTGTGGCTCTTCTTATCACAAAGTATAATGTGTTGGAAGTAACATTATTACTTGTGGCACATTATGGCCAAGCTTTAGATCTTGCTACAAGGCAGACTTGTATGTTCAAATTCAGGCAGAACAATTTTAAAAGAGGAGTGGAGGAAGAGGCCTGGGATAATGATACCAGAGGGTGGGGTAAGAACAAGAAAAGAGGAGCATGGATATGCCAAGAACACAGATAAAGTACCATAGGCTCAAATGTACCTTGCAGAAGGTGAGTTTGCAATGGTAGGTGCTGTCTCTTGTGTTGCGAATCAGCACTTCACCATAATGTTCAATCCAGCGTTGGCCACTCAAGATGTTATGGATGCAGGAGGTCACCTTGTTCCATTCATAGTGATCCCCAAACCTTATGTTGAGAGAAAGAGAGCTAAGTAGGGGAGTAAAGAGGTTTTTTTTGGAGGAGGGCTTTGTTGGAGGACTCTACAGGGTTGAGAAAGAACAGGAACTAGGACTGGCAACTCACCTGGGAAGGTGGACATTCACTGTACCCACAGGGATGATCTCTAAGGATTTGCCCCAGAATTTATTCTTCCACTTCATGTCTAAACAAAGAGAGAAGGGAGGTCATGCTAATTAGTTTTAGGGGCTCTCCAGATGTTATTGGAATGCAGCTTCCAGCATCCCCACTGATACCTATTCTGGCAGGGAATTATGGGAGTTGCAGTCCAACCTATTGGAGATTACAAATTGTTCCACCATGCTGAACACAAAGGCATGGTTCTAACCAGGTGTGACTTAAAAACTAACAAAACAGTTGTTGTTAGTCTGTGGCTATTCTGACACCGAAACACCAGCCCCTAAAATGTAAAAATGTAAGGCATTGTTTCACTGGTACAAGAAAAACATTTCATACATGCTTAGAAAATACGTTTTTTTATCTTCAAGAGATGGGCACCACCGTTGAAAAATGTTCTAGAATCGTAATAAACTAGAACTGTGGTTCTCAACCTGGGGTCCCCAGATGTTTTGGCCTTCAACTCCCAGAAATCCTAACAGCTGGTAAACTGGCTGTGATTTCTGGGAGTTGTAGGCCAAAAACATCTGGGGACCCCGGGTTGAGAACCACTGAACTAGAAGGACATTTTTGACTCACAAAGCCAAGCCCACACTCTCCCCACTGTTGTCGTCCCCTCTGTCCAGCCATGTCCTTGATTTTACCTTGAAACCTCACCTTGCCAGAAAACAAAGTTGTCAGACTCTGCATGGCAGGCAGAGACAGGAGGATGGTGGCACACCTGCAATTGGGGGGGGGGGGGGCAAGAAAAACAGTAATAAACCTCCAGCCTTGCCAAGATGGCAATGTTACAACTATCTCAACACTTGAAAATCTCCACTGGTGGAAAGCCCAGGCAGAAAATTTATTCCATTAATCAAACAGCAATTACTTGATACAGGCAGTCCCCAAGTTACAAACAAGAGGTATGTAGGTCTGTTCTTAAATAGAATTTGTATGTAAGTCAGAACAGGTACATTTTAAGTGTAACTCCTGCCACACACACACACACACACATTTTTCAAAATCCAATTATCACAGGGAAAAAAGGTGGCATGAAATCTCCTGAACAGGGTCACAGACTGCAAAACAAACACCACAGGGACATTAGCCCTGGATTTTGAAAAAAAAAATGGCTTGTTGTGGAAACAAGGATTGGTGATAAAGCTTCAGTTGAGTCATCTTTTCCCCACAATAACTTTTTCAGGATGAATTTCACTTCCTAAGGATAGATTTCTCTCACTTCTTCTTGTCTCACTCCTGTTCTTAGCTATAGTTGTTTATAAGTCAAATGTTTGTAACTTGGGAAGTGGCTGTATACTCATGTATAAGCCCAGCAATTTTGTTCAAAAAATAAACTACAAAAAACTGAGTGGACTTATCAATAGATCAATTCAAGTACTGTACTTTAGCTCATCCCCTTCTCTGAGTTAGAGTGGCAAAAGGTAAAACCTTAGTCCATCCCTCTCTACTCTCTCTTCTCACTTTTCTGAATGCCTTAGGAGAAAAATGGCAGTGGTAGTCAGGGGCTGTTGGGCCTTTGAGGTGGCGCTGGTCTTACAAAATCCATAGCTTTAGCTCCAAAACCTGCCCACTACTTATATATGAGTATATATAGTATACTTAGAATATTTCTCCTAATCTTTGACAGAAATCTGCTCCCTTGTTGATTCCCACTCACTGGTTTTCTCTCTGACCTAAGATACATCATAGAACAGTTTTCTTTGAGCACCTGCACAATGCCTACTGCAATATCCAAAGACTGCTCTCATGCTCTCCTGCTCTTTATTCCTGTCCTGTATCAAACACACTTGCAGATTTTTTTTTTTTACCTGTTCACTGACAAATCGAAAACCTTTGTCTGGCCGCACACACTCATACGTTTCTCCTAGGACAGGGTTGAATGGCTTGCTCCCAGCACGGAAGTAGGTAGAAGCGTAAGCAGATACGGCAAAGGCAGCCATGCAGATCTGTGCAGCAAACACAGAGAAAAAATGATGTTAGAAAGTGGCTACAAGAAATGTAGACAGACTCGCAAGCTGCCAGAAAGTAACTTTACATATAAACCAAAAGCCAATTCAATAATAATAATAATAATAATAATAATAATTCTTACCCTCAGGTTACAATACAATTTAAAAACACGAACATAGCAAAAATTCAATAAATATACACACATTAAAACTGCATTTCTATAAAATACATATTAAATACACAAAACAGACATCAAACAAAGGACATGAGTTTAAGATTCATAGTTAAAAACTGTCTGGGTAGGCCTGTCTGAAGAGATGTGTTTTCTGGGTTGTAGAACAGATGGTTAATTGCCAGCAGCAATAGATTACTGCCGACCAGAAGGTGACAAGATCGAAGTCCAGGTTGGATTGAGCACCCGACTGTAAAACCTAGCTTACTGTCCAACTAAGCAGTTTGAAAACAGCTGAGCTGTGAGTAGAGAAATTAGGTATCGCTTAAAGCAGGGAGGTATTTTACAACACCATAAAAATGCTGGTGATCAAAGAACAAGGGGGAAATGCTACAATCAAAAGGGCTCAACATCATAGTGGATGAAGCGACAGCACCCCGCATGTGACCGGAATTGAGCATTGCCTCTAGGCGCCGAAGTTGGAAAATACCGAAATACCTCTATCTGTCTGTCTTTTATGTCTAAAAACTGCATGTTTGTCATGTATGTGTGCATTGTGATCTGACCTGAGTCCTCTTTGAGGTGAGAAATGCAGAATATAAATATTGTAAATAAATAAAGAGATTGTTTTTAAATTCCAACAGCTGATCTAGCTGTCAGAGCTCTACCAACAGGTCATTCCAGAGTCTTGGGGCGGCTGATGAGAAGGTCCTATGAGAGGTGGTCACCAGTCAGGTTCTGGGAGGCTGGAGCAGATGCCCCCCCCCCCCCCGAGATCCTAAGTGTTCTAAGCGGATTGTATGGGAGAAGGCGATCCTGAAGGTAACCTGGACCCAAGCCATGTAGGGCTTTAAAGGTCAAAACCAATACCTTGTACTTTGCCCGGAAAATAATTGGCAGCCATTAGGATAGGTGTAATTTGCTCCTAGCTGTTCCTGTAACCAATCTGGCTGCTGTATTTTGAACCAACTGGAGTTTCCAAACTTAGTACAAAGGTAACACAATGTAAAGCACATTGCAGAAGTCCAACCTTGAGGTTACTAGCATGTGCACTACTGATGATTACTCTACCAATGATTACACTAACACCCATGTCAACATCTTATAAAAACCTGTGATGTGTAGGGATTTTTTTTTGGGGGGGAGTGAATTTTGTATAAGAGAGTTCTAATGCCACATCAAACTACAAATCCCATGGTTCTATAAGAAGTAAACACAACAGTTCAATCGGAATCACAGTGCTATTATTCTGTAGTAGGAAGGAGGTCCTAGTCACACCATCTTCCATAGACTGCACTGCAACATCAGGAAATACTCAATCTAGCTGATGATCTCCTTGTCAGTGGGGGAACTGAATCTATTTTGTCTTTGATCCAAACTGTAAAATTGCTATCCGAGATGCTGAACCACATCCTCCAAACAAAACAAAACTCCACCAGTTCCTCCACTTGAATGGGCTTGCCTTCAGGAAAGAGTGGGCATAGAAAGAAATAGCAAAAAACACATTTTAACTCCGTAGGGAGGCTGTTAGTATTTATACTCTGGATGTGGACAGTCACAGGTTCAATCTCTGAAGGTGCCAGGAAGGAGAGGTCACCTAGTATCTTCTTTATGTTTTGCACTACAACATCTAAATTCCCTGACCACTTCCTAATTTGAATGGTGCTTATAGGAGTTTCAGACTAAGACATATTCCTGGATCCCAGGCAGCATGATTATGTGGGACACACAACAGATCAAATCAGCCAGGAGTCCATGCGAACCACCACTCTTATTCTATTACTGCCCTCTCCCACTCTTGTCACCTCACTCTACCTAACGGTAGGGCCAGCTTGCCAAAGAAATATGTAGAAACTCCTATTCTAACAACAGGTAAGGAAGCAGTAAGAAGGTCACATACCAATCTTTCACAGGGATCCAGTGTGCGGCTGGCTGCATCCAACAGGGCGCTGTACTCCAGTTCCTCACAAAGCCGCTGCAAGGTGTTGAGAGGCTCATTCAGCTGTACCGGCATGGACACTTTGGAAAGATCCTTGCCAATGTTGTTGCGAAGGATGTTCCACACACTGACATCACTGGCGTTGACATGAGAAACCGGCAAACAGTTTCTGCGCGTTATCCCAGGTCCTGGCCCAGGGAGGTACAAAGGGAGAGGCACTGGCAGACTCAGCATTGTTTCTGCAGATTCCCCAAAACAGTGCACAATGGCTGGACCTGTGGGGAGGTACACAAACAACTACTATCCCACTGTGCATTGATCACCTTGCTGACTGCCCTATGTAGTAGGATAATAGGAGCCAGAAGGTGAGTATAGAGTCCTGCTGGAGAACCTAGAGCTTCTTACAAGGAAGCTCTCTAGGAATTTCTAGGTCTTCTCTAGATTCCAAGAGAGGCGTTCTCTGAGTAGAAAAATATATATGTTTTTTCCACTTTTGCAGAGGTCCTGCATCCCAACCTCTCTGAAAGTGGAGGTCTACCGTATATCATGGAGAAATGGTCCTGGTCATTTGGAGACACTCCACAAAGCAAAAAAACAAATAGGGACTCCCTAAGGTTTGGTACCGAAGGCCTATGGTTTTTGTCCCTCTTCTAGGTCCCCACCTTTCATTCATTGTGTAGCTCTTTCCCTCTGCAAACAAACCCACCAAAATAATTTCCTGGATCAACTACCTTTGTGGAACCGCCCAGGTCCTCCTGCCACCTCGGCCATTTCCTCGGAGATGCTATTAGTCACTTCGCTGATGCAGGACTCGTCATCCGTGGCCTGGAGGAGCAATAGGAGGTTACACAGGCCAAGGGAATTGCTGACTTTGCCAGGAAAGAGGAAGAAAGGAGGGGAAAGGAAATGGCTGTGTGGGCATAAAGGGCATTTGAGGCAGGTCAAAAGCTTGAGCTAGAAGTACGTTCAGAAAATTCAAGGCACCTTGCTGGTATATATATAAATAGAATTCTTCAAAAAATAAAAAAATTCCCCTGGGGTACTTAAAAAATGTGGCAGGTAGGGAAAATTCTTATAGAGCTGTGACCATAGCTATGTTATGAAGTTGGTGGGCACAAGCTCAATTCTCCCAGTCGAACAAACTCTAAAGAACAAGACCATGTCTGATGGGCGAGCTTGTAAGTCCCAACCTATTGAGAAAATGCAAGAGGAAAGGAAGATAATAGCTGGAAATGTATCCCCAGCAAACTACTACCTAGAAACCTAGAAGTTTAATGGACAATAAAACAAATTCATCATGATGTACAATGGGAAAGTTTAGGAGGCAAATGGTAGAGAAAATGGTAGAGAAAGATTTCATAGGATCAGTGAAGTCACTAAGGACTGAAATGCGGCGATCCCTGAAATGGAAGGAAAGGAGAAGCCAAGACCTCCGGTTTCTAAACAGAAGGACTACTAAAGAGAAGTAGTTCACTTCTCCCAAATCCTACATGCTTCATTTGCATGACTCAAAGGATTTGTGGATTCACTACAAGAATGCCACAGTATTGGAAGCAAGTACCCAGAGTTGCGTCCAAAAGGAAAAATGTTGCAGAATAAAAGGAGAAGAGAAGATCTAAGTTAATATATTAAGGGTATCCATTCTGCTAAGTTTGCACCTTCCAACAGTGATATTAAGCTAAAAAAGGAAGGCTGCAAAAATAAAAGGATTTGAGAGGTTGTGAGATGGAGAAAGGGAGGCAGGGAGTGGCAAGGGACCATCCATTGCTAGGCAGGAGGGAGTGGCGTGGCTGCTGACTAATTCACAAAGGATGGAAGAGAAAAAAGAAAGAGAAATGTGAAACAAACATAATAGAAAAGAATGGGAGACATAACTATATTTTTAATGTTACACTCATCTAGCAGTCTTGTGGCTTTTTAAATCAATTCTGTAATCATGATAGAACTGAAATAGATAGATAGATAGATATTCAGACACAACAACTTATGTGTAAATTAATCTCTTTTTCGAGCATTACTATGTAACTGTGTAATGCAAAAAGGAATAATTTCACCTTTTTTGCAGTCCATGTGTAACTGTAATTCCTTTTATAGTTACACGTTGTCACCATTTTGATGTGTTTTGTTTGAACTGTAGAATAGCAGGTTCTATTTTTTCTGATTTTTGAAAATACAAAAATCTAAAAGTAACTAAATTGTTACTTTTGAACAGGCAGGGATTACTTTGCCTGAAACTGCATTGGAAATTAATGATTCTTCAAGCATTAAAACTATAACTGTGATTACTTTGCGTCTTTCCAAACCTTGGTATATATAGTGGGCCCTTGGCACCTGCTGGGTTGGTTCCAAAACCTCCTGTGGATACCAAAATCTGTGGATGTGTAAGACCCATTATATACAATGGCTTAGTGAAATACTGTCCCTTATATAAATGGGGAAAAATCAAAAAAATGTTTTTGGGTTAAAAAAATTAACTTGTGAATGGTTCAATCCATGAGTAGAGGTTTTTGATATAGAGGGCTAACTGTAGTTTATAGAAGACCAAGCACATTCAGAAGTGAGTTAAAGTAGGCAACATTAAATTGGGAAATGACAACATTGGTTTTGTACTTGATGGTTATTTCTTTAGTTATCATTAGGAGGAGTTTATTGATTTACTCAAAACCGGAACGCAGTGCTGACCATGAGCACATGCAGCTAGAAACAGTGTAAACTAGAACCATCCAAATCATGCATCTCAATTTTCAATTTTCTAATTGGACACTCCTCGGGCACAACTCATCTCTCTTAAACGGCCTGTACAAAAACACCAGACTTCATTTTCTAGCTGTAAAGATTTCTGCTATTGTCAGCCTCTTTCCCACCACTCATGGAGATCTGTCCCAAATACTAGGTTGCAGCCACTTGCTCCGCATTTCATTATCAGGTTAATTTATAGGCCATATTTACATCATTCCATCTACAATAAGACTCCCAACGGAGAAGTTCTCCAGCCTCTCAACATACAGGTTGAGTATCCCCTATACAAAATGCTGGAGATCTCAAATGTTTTGGATTAATTTTATTTCATTGAGTTTGTGGCATATTTGTGTGTTCATAGTGAGATATTTTGGAGAAGAGACCCAAGTTTGAACATGAAATTGGAGATGGGATCCAAGCCTAAACATGAGATTTAGACTTGTATATAAGATGTTCATATATATCTTATATACATAGTCTGGGGATAATTTCAACAATTTTGTGCATCAAACAAAGTTTGAGTAAAAAGTAACACCAGAAAGAAAGGACTTCATGATTCCAGCAGCCACCCAACTGAACCATTTTGGATTATGGAGCAATTTGGATTTTGGATTTCCAAATAAGGGATGGGTGAAAGTATGATAGTTGGGACCCAGTGCTGGTAGCGCTATGCTGGTTGCGTAATGCGGCTCTGAATTAGAGAAGGGAACACATGTGTGAGACAAAGAGACAACAAGGTAGTTTGGTAGAAAGGGGGAGGGGAAACAGGGAAGCATAGTCTTGTGAGAGCCGCGTTGTGAAACAAGCGTAGCGCTACCAGCACTGGGTCCCAGCTATCATACATCCCTACAACTAAGGGATGCCCAAGGAGAAGCAGAACTTGGAAATACTACTTTTTTGGATGACATGTTGGAAGGGAAGTTTATAGGAACAGTTATCCAAAACATACATTTCCCCCATGTTTTGGAGCAAAGCATCTGAGTTCTGGGCAATGAATGTCTTTAAAAACTCCCTCCAACCAAGCACTTTAAAGAGCACCACATTAACTAACCTCATTTTCAGAAGAGCTGGCTGATAGGAACACCTCGCAGGCGTCAAAGAACTCGGTGTGCGAATCCGAGAGAGACACAATGCTGCGATTGGATAACTGCTGCTCCTGGCTCTTAACCAACAGAGTATTATTTGGCTGCAGGCCAGAGGAAGAAAATATGACCAAGAGATCAAAAACATGCAACAGTCATTACTGAGACTTAATGAGTCAAACACAGAGAATACCTAAGTGATGGCATGCCCAACTCACTGCAGTATATTTTAAGGGCTTTGGAATTATTTTTACCGCATTAAAGTACATTGGGGTGCACTGAATGACAATTTCATTAACTGACAAGTGCTTTGTTGACATCTTCAGCACTAAATAAGCAGAAACCAGGCAGTTCTTATGAGTAGAGACAGACAGAGCTTTCAAAAATTACTTTTGGGGATTATAATTTCCAGAATCTCCATCCACCATAGCTGGTGGCTGGGGTTCCTAGGAGTTATAGAGCCAAATTAAGTTATTTGCTTTCACCTTTGGCAACAGCTATTTCCTATTTGATATCAGATGCTCAAAGGTGAATTGCCTTTGAATTTATCATGGCTGCAGTTGATACACCTGTCTTCCACAAATTCCTCAACTGCTTCTTTAGCCACTATAAGAATTTTTTGTGCGTGTGTGAGTGTGTGTCAGGAGCAACTTGAGAAACTGAGAAGACGTTGCCCGTTCTGCAAAAGGGGGGAATGGGGTTTACAACCAGATTGTGGCTGTAAAGGACTTTTAATCTATGTTCTGTGACACAGTGGAGAACCAGTTTACGAAAGGGTGCAGATTTCCCATACAGCAGCAAGAGGCCCACTTTTCTTCTCTTTCCTCCCAATATAAGAAAGTAGAAGCAAAGGGGCAGGTTCTTATAACACAAGGAAGAAGGATAGTTCAATACAGTTCAGCAAACATTTAATTCAAAACTAATAATGTGTGAAATAAAACCAGTCTGCTTTGCAAACAGGATTTTAATCCTGCTCAGGAGTCATGCTTTGCTTACAAATGCCAGCTAAGAGGTGATGGTTTTGCATACTCAATGACTGAAAATAACCAGGGAATTGTCCCCACAGTCAGCCCCACACATACTTGTACAGGGAGAGGGCGGATGGAGCATTTGGTAGCCCTGATTTTAACCTTTCCAGTGGTCCAGAGTTCACCTAATTCCAAATCATTATCATGTATTTTGAAATTATCCATTCTATATCACTTTGAGCAACTGTCTCACATGGATTGCTCACCTCATCTGGGTTGAACGAGGCAAAAGAGTCCAGGGTGGTGTCTGAGGAGATGGAGAGAGAATGAAAGCGGCGGATACATTCAGGATTGTCCAGTGTCTGCAGAGAAGTCTGGAAATGGAAAAGATGGGTGCTCGAAAAGTTGATGGCATGTAGTAGCTTTCTGGGAAAGGATGGGCAAGCTGAACTATAAGTGCTTCCTGCACTCCATTATTCTATCCCCTGAAATCTCTATTTAAGAGAACCAGCCATAAAATAATTTTTTAAACAATTTTCAACATGTTTTGGGGCAATTTTTGTCCCCAAATAAACCAACCCACTTCCCAAAACACATAACCTGTCCACCCCAATCTAAAAGTTAACCCCCAGGAATACATATTTCTAGAACTTAGAACATGCAGTTAAGTCAGTTGATACTTGTGGAGGTTGCTTAAGATTGCATTGTTCCAATGATAGGACACTCTGTATATACTCCAGAGGCCTCCCCATCAGCTCCCATGTTCCATAAGGACCTTCTTATAGTAACACCAGAGGAACTCCAAGTGGCCAGCTACTGGTCAAAGGACATTTAATCAACTACCAAGCTTGCAAACTTTGTATTTTGTATGTTTGTTTGTTAGTTAGTTAAAAAATGCAATACAACTGTTTGGTTTCCTCCTGACAAGATAAATAAATAAATAATGTCTGAGAACAGGAGTTTCAATGCTAAGGAATGAAACCATTAACAGGCCACTCTCCTAAAGAACCTGGCTCTGTCCTTACCGCAGCTGGAGAAATTCCATAAGCACCTCCACGGCCAACTGGTGCCGAAGGGCCAGCAGAATGCTGCAAATCTAGTGTCTGTTGCAGTTCCTGAAGACGGTCTCGTTCCGCACTCAGAACAGCCAACACACTGGTGAGGGACCCATGAACTGGCAAAGGAAAGGCATTTGAAAAAGAGCATACTATGAGTCCAAAAAATTCAATGTTGAGTACAGGCTTCATAATATCTTGAACACCAAGTTTCATAAATACACTCCAGTCCATAGCTCAAAAGGGGACTATGACCAAACTGAGATTACAGTTTAAAGTAAACATAACTTAAAGAATCTGCCTGCCTCTTGTGCTAGACAAATCCACATGGCCGATCACCAAAGCTGGTGTCTTGTCTAATGAAGACTTTAGCACAGTTTAGGACATGGTCCACCAACTACTTTAAATCCCTTCTGAACAAACACTTTGGATTTTTGGATGAATTATTAAAAGATCCATGATTATGAACTGATTGTGATCAAGCATAATATTTATATTTAGGGTGCATCTACCCTATAGAATTAATACAGTTAAACACCAGTTTATCTGCTATGGCTCAATGTTAGGGAATCATGGGAGATGTAGTCATACAAGGTCTTTGGCTTTCTTGGTCAAACAGTTCTGGTGCCTCACCAAACTAAAACCACCATGATTCATTGCATTCATCCACGAAAGTCAAAGTAATGTTGAACTTCATTAATTTTACAATGCAGATGTACCCTTAGGTTGACACCATGAAAACTTTCAAGCACTCCAGAGACAACATGCGAACGTCAACATTTATTTTTGCATAGATCTTGATAGGAAACAAATTTCAACAAGTTTGGGTGATAACAACCAATTTTTGGTTTCACATGAAGATGATAATAGAACCATCAACATCAGCTTGAGTAAACGGGCCAAATTTTAGTAGTACTCAAGAAGTGGAGTGAGCTTGTGTGAGTGTATGCATTAGAGAAAGACCAGAGTTAGGAGAGAAATGAATTAGGGTCAGGGTTTGAGTGTCTCTTGGCTCCAGACCATGTCCTGCATGGTCTGGAGCCAAGAGAGCCACAAAGTTTAGTTTTCTTTTGATACAGAATCTGGATTATCTCAATCATGAAACTTGTGATTTGTAATAAAGATCATATACGTTGGTGGAAAATTACCAATTTTAAAATAACAATGGAACATGCTTTCATTACAATTGCTCTCTCTTTTTCCACCTGGCCAAAATTGGAATTAGTATTTTTGGATTCTGCCAGCAATAAAAATAAAATTCAGGTCAGGTAAACTGTCATGGTTGGGAGTTGCAAACAAAAGAAGCAATGTGCACTGGCCATAAAGATACCTTTCTGAGCTAAGATCCAGAAACTTCTCTGCAGCTGGCTGTATTCTGGAGGAACACTAAAGATGGCCTGATTCTGACATGACTCTAGATATCTTGAGAGGTTGGGCACAGAGCCATGAAGTCGTCCTACCTGCTAGGAGAAAAAATACCCGTGTTTATACACTTAGCAAAACAGCTTCCTAATCATACCTTTCTCCTCCTCCATTTTACTTTAAATTGCTTTCTCCTTTGTCCCAGAAAAGCACTGTATACTCATTATTGATTTCACATAAATACATAAACTAGACCACAGCTGGGAAAATCACATTTTGAAAAGAAATTTAGTACAGTTTTGGAGTCAAGATGTTCCTAAAAGAATTATTTACTGCTATGGCACTTTCTCTTTACTATTTTGCTTCTCAAAAATAACTGAACTGGCTTATTGTAATTACTTTTAAAATGGAATGCGGTATCATAAGACACAGCAAGCACCAGTATTCTAACCATGTGATAGTTGTCCTCCACCATCAAGCAAGGTCTCACTTCAATAACTTCAGTAACAACAATGAAAACTTATAAACACCATTAATACAGAGAGGTTAGTGCCACTGGGGCTGCATCTACACTGCCATTTAATGTAGAAAACACATTAGCATGGTACATCCACATAACACACACACACGATAATGCACTCTAATCTGGGGTAAGCTAATAAATCCTGCTTGACTCTGGGTTAAAATAAATACTGGAAAAGTTCTGAATCATCCATGATGATCTGGACTTTTCGTGGTGTTTCAGCAGTGGATACTGCCCTCGTGGATTGCCAGATGTAATCCAAGATGAGATCCCTAAAACCATCCTACATTCCTTAGGATCAGGCAGCCATTTTTGTGTTATTCCAAATGGCTTTGTCTGGGGGCCTGTCCAGACAGTACCTTTATCCCTGGAGCTTCCGCAGCAAACAGGAAGGTGGCTAGATGCCATTCCCTGTAAATGCGGAGACAATCGCTACAAAGGCCAAATAGCACAAGATTTCCAGGTGCAGGAATATTGCAGTTTTGAGACAAATATTCGAATCTTTGCATGTCTGTATGTCCCTGCAATCAGAAATCACAGATTTTTTTATTTGGCTTTGTTCCTGGGTTTTAGATGCTTGTTCCTGGGTTTTAGATGCTTGTTTTAGATGCTTGTTCCTAAAAAGAAGGTGACACTTGAGTATAAGGCAAAAATTTTGTGTGCCAGAAAATTCTTCTTCTTCTTCTTTTTTGTCGTGTCAGGAGCGACTTGAGAAACTTCATGAAATATATGAAGGGTACATTTTCTCCGGCTAGGACAAAATTGTGGCCCCCTAGTCAATGTTGTACATGTTTTCACAAGAAGAGCAATCAGGAACAGTCACGTATAACCCAGGAACAGCACCATGTTGTTTGATGCCACAAGTACACAACCAAATCTGTCTGGACAGATGGCCAGGCAACCAGGCTCTAAAAATAGTAGATAATGACAAAGTTCTGTTCCCGGCTTAAAAGTGTATGTTCCTGTTTCATTGCGTAGTGCTGAATTGGACAGAAGTAATCCTACCCTGAAAACATTGTTTGTGTGCCAGAAATTTTATGAAACATTTGGAGGGCATAGTTTTTCTGCCCTGCACATAGAACGGAACTTTTGCAGTGATCTCCATAACTAAATCTCTACATATCTGCATCTCACGGGGCTTTTTTAAACTGCTGGTTTCCAGCAGAAGCCCCACAGCAGCCATCTTGGAGCCTCTAAATCCCGCAGCAAAGCATCAAGTCTGGACAATGGAAGCAGAAATGCTGATACCACCAGGTCTGTATGTGGACCTCTTTTGAAGTCCCGGGAATTTTTGCCCCTGTTTAAAACTGTCTGGAAGCGCCTTGTGTCAGGGTCTGCGGCAGACACAGAGTTCATTCTATTGCATGTCAAAATCAACCTAGCAATCCTGAACCAGCTCACCCTTCCAATAGTGTCATCCTTTGCAAAACTTTGTGTACACCAAATACGGGTAGATCTCTTCCCCTTTCTGGGTCTCTCTGTGCTTGTTGAGGTCTGTAAAACCAAGGGAAAAAATATTGTAATGCCTCTAGTTATTTTGAATGAGACAGCAAGGCATTGCTTGTTCTCAGGAAATTCCCGATTTCACAGGTAAACAAGTAGTGCCTGACCATGCAAATCAGGTATAGAATCAGAAGGTTTTTTGGTATGGGAGCAGCTATAGTGCTACCTGCAATGAAAGCATGCCCAAAATGTAATGCAAAAGAAATATGTCTGTTGCAACCACTGTACATACCTGACTATTGGAGATGAGGGGTGCAGAGGGAATGCGGTGGAGAGATTCCAGGCTCTGTAGCATACAGTTCAGCTCCTGAAGCTTTTCCTGACAGTCTGTAAGTTCTGAGAAGAGAAAAACCAAAAAGGTGTCAAAACAAGTAGAAAAATGTTGACCTGAATGGGCAAGATCTGCATCTGCAGCAGCAAGGATAGGGGCTCTTCCACACAGCCCTATATCGCAGAATATCAAGGCAGAAAATCCCACATTATCTGAGTGTGGGCTCAGATAACCCAGTTCAAAGCAGATATTGTGGGATTTTCCACCTTGATATTGTGGGATATAGGGCTGTGTGGAAGGGCCCTAGGAGGTCAGATGGTAGGACTCTCTTCAATCTCTCCCACCCTCCCCCCACCTCTCTCTATACTAAAGGTAAAGGTTTTCCCCTGACATTAAGTCCAGTCATGTCAGACTCTGGGGGTTAGTGCTCATCTCCATTTCTAAGCTGAAAAGCCGGCATTGTCCGTAGACACCTCCAAGGTCATGTGGCCAGCATGACTGCAAGGAGCACAATTACCTTCCCGCTTAAAAAAACAAACAAACCAAGGGGCAAACCAAGGATGGGCAACTTGGAAGTCCCTGAACAGACTCAGAAGTGGAGTGGGCAGATCAAAAGACAATCTGGCAAAATAGCACTACCTAAAAGAATCCTACACCTTATGTGACTGTGGAGCAGAACATACAACTCCGCATCTGTATGCTTGTCCACTGTGCCCTGCCTCATGTACAGAGGAAGAATTGTTGGAGGCTACAGACAATGCCATTACTGTTGCCCATTTTTTGTCAAAAGTTATTGAGCCACCTGAGCTCCTTCTATTTTTATCAGTTTTTATACTAATTTATGCAATGCTTTTGATACAAAATAATAATAACCTTCCCGCCGGAGCAGTACCTATTGATCTACTCACATTTGCAAGTTTTCAAACTGCTAGGCTGGCAGAAGCTGGGGCTGACAGCGCAAGCTCATTCTGCTCCCCGGATTTGAACCTGTGACCTTTTGGTCAACAAGTTTAGCAGCTCAGAAGTTTAACCCATTGCACCACCGGGGGCTCCCCCCCCCCTATATATGTATAGTCAGTTGGTATTTGTCTCTAGTCAATTGGTATTTGAAAAGGGAAATGAAACTTCCTTCAAGTCTGCAGATGCATATGATAGATGGGCAACTGGTACTGCTAGCATAGTTTGGAACTAGTTTTGGCCAGAATCTCACTCAAGCCTATGCTGCTATCAAAGAGAGTAAAAATGGTAAGAGCATTGCCACTTACCTGCTGAACACCTGTCCAAGCCTTTACTGTCAGTAAGCCAGGAATTCACTTTGTCTCGGTGACTGCCCAGGGAAGATAAGGCAGGGGCACTTTCTGACATCAGAATGCGGTGCCTTGCACTGCAGGCCTGAAAGAACAACCAGGCAAAATGGTATGAAATATTATTTGTTAAACAAATTAAAATATCAGGAAATGGAAGTAGAGAAGGGTGCCTAAATAAACACTGGGGAAAATATTCTATGGGCTCCATGGGCAGTAGATTAAAGACTTCAGAACTGAAGTCATTTATTCATATGGATGTTGTCTCTGGCTCAAGAATGAAATGGCTGCATGAGAAATACAAATACATTTTTGGTCTTGAAAACCAATTTCTTTTTCAGATAACCACTTAGTGGAAATTCACTAGATTAGCAGTGGATTGCCACCAAAAAGGGAGAGAGAAATCCTATGATTTTACCTACAATATATCCCATAAACTGCAGTATTTGAGAACTAACATTTGTATTATGATTATAAATTGTGTCAACCAACCCAATCTACCAGGTGAATCTTACAGATAAGTGCCAGGCTTTTAATTGTTGACAATGCATAAATGGATGTAACAGACTTTCCATGATTTATTTAAAGTGTTTCAATGGCTGTTTTAAACTCATGTATAATTTAAAGTGCCATCAAAGACTTTCATGGCCAGAATTACCTGGTTGCTGTGAGTTTTCTGGACTGTATGGCCATGTTCCAGAAGCATTCTCTCCTGATGTTTCATCCATATTTATGGCAGGCATCCTCAGAGATTGTGTGGTTGTTGGAAACTAGGCAAGTGAGGGTTATACATATATCTGTGGAATGTCCAGGGTGGGAGAAAGAACTCTTGTATGCTTGAGGCAAGTGTGAATGTTGCAATTGGCCACCTTGATTAGCACTGAATGACCTTGCAGTTTCAAAGACTCGCTTCAAAGACAGAATCCTGCCTGGGGAAATCCTTTGTTGGGAAGTGTTCGTTGGACTTTTGAGGCTGCAAGGCCATTCAGTGCTAAACAAGGTGGCTAGTTGCCTCAAGACAAAGTTATTTCTCCCACCCTGGACATTCCACAGATATATAAACTTCACTTGCCTAGTTTCAAACAGATCGCACAACCTCTGACTATATATCTGCCATAGATGTGGGTGAAACGTCAGGAGAGAATGCTTCTGGAACATAGCTATACAGCTCGGAAAATTCACAGCGACCTAATGTATAAGTGTATATTTACAGCTTATGGTACTTTACATGTTTTAATGTCATAAAAAGTCTTGTGTTCCAAAGAGCAAAATGCAATTAAAATAGAAATAAATTAAATTATTAGAGTGTTCAGTACTTCACTCAACAGTCTGTATTCAGTACTTCACTCAATGATGAAGCTACAGAGTTACTGTGTAGATAAAAATGGAGAGGAGGAGTCAGAACTCAGAAATGTAATTTTCAACTACAACTGCCAGAGTCTTCCTGTCATCCTGCTATCCTTGAGTTTCCTAAAGGATAGGTGGGATGTAAATATAACAAGTAAATAAATAAATAAAATATGTGGCACATAGTAACTGCATCCACTGGAATTATAAAGGCCCAGGGTTAGAAACCTTTTGCTGCTGAAATGATGCAAGTAAGTTTCGGTGGGTTTCGGGGGTCTTCCTTGTCCAGGACGCATATGGGAACTGTTAATGCTTCAGAAGAAAGAATGAGAAAGAGTTTGGAGGCATTTTTGGATGGGGGTCTTCTTTGTCCAGGATACATATGGGAAACGACAAAGCTTGAGGAAGAAAAAGAGAGGCCAAAGGTTTTTTGCGGGTGGGTTTTGGGGGGCAAATGTGAGAACGGATAGCATTTGGGGGAAGAGAGACTTGTTAATTGTATAACGGCATTGAATGTTTGCCGTATATGTGTTCTGTCCCCTCAGGGAGATAGAGTGGAATATAAATAAAGTATATTATTATTATTATTATTATTATTATTAAGTTTTCTCTCCTGATATGCATATGGACACCACCTACCTTCATTATTCATGCACATGAGGGGCAATGACAGAGCCAAAATGCCCTATGACTAGTAGCAATGGTGTGTAATGGTTAGACTACTGAACTAAAACTTGGGAGATCAAGTCCCTCTTCATTGAGAAATCTTGAGCCAGTCGCTCTGTCTCAATAATCAAATCTACATTGCCAGGTTGTTGTGAAAATAAAAGTGGGAAAGAGGAGTCTTTTGATCACATTAGAGGAACAGCAAGATATAACAATACAGCAACATATAACAGCTTGCAGCACACAGGGAAGTTCATTTTTCCTATAACTCACAGGTGGAGGATGGGGTGGTCTTCCACCATGGCCACCCATCAAGAACTTTTCAGCTTGGCGGTGTGAGCACAGCTTGGCCACCCAATTATTGAAGAGTTCTTGGGATTTTATCTAAAATGAATCAAATAGAAACTTTAAAAAAGGACCAGAGAACAGAACAGAGAACACTACATAATTATGTTATTATGATAATGCTTCAACTGCGGTGACTGCTTCCGATGTAATCCTGAGGTTTGTAGTTTGGTGAGATAGTAGAATACTTCGTGTATGAGAAAGAGATTTTAAGCCGACATTTATTATGGTTCCATGGATTTTTTGTATACGGTGAACCATCCATCAGGCTAGGAATACCCAGAGGTGATTTGTCATTCCTTTCTCTGAAATATAGCCTGGAACACCTGTACATACCTCTCCCTAAAATGCAATTACCTGAATTCCTTAGTCTGGCATCATGGAAATTAAGGCAGAATATAGCACTGTGGTATGTAGTGTGAAATGCCTCCAGAGAAGCTTCAAGATATTTTGCTATTTGAGGAGGAACAGGAAATGACATCTACCACCCACATACATCAAGAGGCATAGTATCCAAACCCACAGAAACTTGCAGAAGTACTACTCTCCCTCTCCTGACAGCAGCAGAACAGAAATACACTTTACATTGAAATCATTCATTCTTTGCTGTCCTTTCATATCTATCAATATCAGGATCCAAAGGCTGCCAAAATTTGGATAATTCCCAATGGAGCAGGGGAGAGATGGAAATATACAAGGGAAGTGGTGGATATTTGCATGGATGACTCTCTAGCACTGGAAGTGGGTTTCTCAAGCTGAAAATGTTTGGTGCCCATTAGATCAGTGGTTCTCGACCTGTGGGTTCCAAGATGTTTTAGCCTTCAACTCCCAGAAATCCTAACAGCTGGTAAACTGGCTGGGATTTCTGGGAGTTGCAGACCGAAACATCGGGGGACCCACAAGTTGAGAACAACTGCATTAAATCATCAACGTAATCCAGACGACTGAACCTCTGCACAAAACTATCTGGCTTAAGATAGAAAGAGAGCTCCTAGGTTCCTACCAACATCTCATGAAACTTTTAGGGCACACAGGGTTCAGTTTTTCCCCACATTATTTTGAAATTCCAGGTACACATGTTCTGAAAGTCAAAAATTTATGCTTTACAGTGAATCTACACGAATGTTCTTTCCTATCACTTACTACATGGTCACACAAAGTCTTTTTCTAAAAGCTGGATTGAAATCTCCAACAGGGTAAACAAATAAGATCTTGCTCTGATTTAGAGAACAAGAGGCAGATAGCTGAATTTCTCTGGATACCTGGAGTGCTCCGTGAATAACTTCTCAACCTGACTGCTGAGCTGAGATCTTTATCAGATGATTCGTAGGATTATTATATGGCATTAACCGCAGTGCAAACTGTTATCTGTTCTCCTGTAGTCAGCAACTTTTCTGTAGCCAGCATAGTAGAACAGGAAGTGCAAATGTTTGCTTTTGAATATAATATTTTAAATCGGGAGCTTCAACATAAGAGCCTAACCAAATCCTTTACAGTTCAGATCCTGTTTCCACAGCAGTCAATAGGATCACAGAATCAGAAGATGTTAGAGACAGAATAATAGAGTTAGACAGGCCCACAAGGTCCAAACCAATGGCATGCAACACTAAACAAATGAAGTACCTCTTAAAATGCCTAGCTAACATCTGGGCTGTGGCGCAGTTGGCTAGGAGTCAGCTGCATTAAATCACCACTGACCAAAAGGTCATGAGTTCGAAGCCAGCCCCGGTTGGAGTAAGCTCCCGACCATTTGTCTAGCTTGCTGTCAACCTTTGCAGCCCAAAAGACGGTTGCATCTGTCAAGTAGGAAATTTAGGTACCGCTTATGCGGGGAGGCTAATTTAACTAATTTATGATGCCATAAAAATCTCCAGCAGTGGCTGAAAGAATGAGGAAGTACTCCATCAAGGATTCGGTGTCATAAGTGGACCGTGAAGCGACAGCTCCCCCAGTGGCTGGAATTCGAGCATACCCTCATGAAACTTAAAATGCCTCTGTGTTTGTCTATATATGTTGTGTGTCTATGGCATTGAACGTTTGCCATGTATATGTGCACTGTAATCCACCCTGAGTCCCCTGTGGGGAGGCTAATATAAATACTGTAAAAAAATAAATAAATCTGTATGAAGACCTCCAAAGATAGAGTGTTTACCACTCTCCAAGGTAATATATCCCACTGTCTAAGAGCTCCTAAAGTAAAAAAGGGTTATTTCAAATGTTTGGGTTGAATTTCTTGTCCTGAACTTTGAATCTAATAGTTTGTGTTCTCTGGAGGAAAGGAAAACAAGCCTGGCTCATCTTCTATATGACATTCCTTCAGATATTTAAAGATAGCTATCATAGCTTTATCCCATGTGAATTGATGTCATCCCCTTGTGAAGTTGGCAAGTATCACTTCACACCATCCTCACACTAACCCAGGAAAAGCAAATGGAAGTCAACTCTCAACAACATGCCAAAGGCTAAGTGACATTTGCACTCATGTCCCCAATGATCTCTTCCTTTTATCTACAATCCAATGCTAGTTAGCAATGCCATCTCCCCCACTTTGTGCCACTGTCCTTTAACCTGGATGAGGCGTCCTTGATTTGACCCACTGCCTTGAGATTATAGATGTCACTACCTTGAGATGATAAATGTTATCTTCTGTGTCCAGATCTACTCGTTGAGCTTTCTTGTTGACTGACATGACTGACAAGCGAACATCAATGGAGCCGTGTAGTTTCCCTTTCATGACCTGGAGGGAGAAGCCACAGACAGAATCATGCTGGTGAAGTGAACCATGCTTCTCCTCTTTAGCTTATTTCCTTAGTCTTTCTCTTTAATGGTTCCCTTTGGTTACTTTAGCTCTTGGGTTCCCAAAAGCCCTTAGCACACCAAAATCTGGGCTTCCCTTCAAATTGTACTCACATCTTGACGCGTTGTGGCATATTTCAGGATTCCATCTTCCAAAACAAAATAGCGCTTCGAGAAGGAAAAGAAATGGAGGAGAGAGAGAAAAAAATCATAAATTACCAAGCATAGTTGCCAAGGCTGAATTAAATCAAGCTAATAGGATATGAGGATATTCTATCCAAGTTTAGAAAAGATTCTCTGGCTAAATGTTTCAATCCTTTTCCAAATGTGCACATCGTTCCACTGACTAAAGTGTATCCACGCACATTTTAGAAACATATTGTTGTGTGCATCCAAACCATTCTCGACATGCATTCCTAAGGTGAACTTATTACAAGATTTTCTTGGTAAAATTTGTTGGGGAGTGACTTTGCTTCTTTCTAAGGCTGAGAGAGCATGACTTGTCAAGGATCACTCAGTAGGTTTCCATAACTGGCCTCTAGAGTGCCATTCCAACACTCAACCATTATATCACACTGACTCTCCTTTAGAAAAATATGTAGTCCAAATTTTGCAAATGTTTTGTAGAACATCCTTTTTTTCATAGAATACAGCACAAATTTAATTATTTATTTACTGTAGTTTTACCCCACTCTACCTCAACCCCAAAGGAGACCCAGAGCGGCTTCCAAATTGGCAATAATTCAATGCTGCATTAAGACAGAAAAATATACAAAAAACAAAATACATTGCACATTAAAATAATAAAACAGTAACATATAAATACATTAAAAGAATCAGTTAAAAACATGGCACATAGTTCCAAAATTATATTCCAAAAGCCATTCCAATTGCATTATGCAGAAATATATGGATTCCCAGTTGTAAATTATATCTGGTTCTGCATCTAATCCAGAAAGTGTAACATTAGGCAAACTTGTTTTAACAAAAAAATATCCAAGCATGTTAATTTTTCATCTTTCCCTATATATAACATAATTTGCACCCCACACTAGAAAACTATAGAAAGAAGAACAGAAGGCAAAGTACACGTTTTTTGCCAAGATCTGTATGATTCTTCTTCATCCATATAGTTTATTTCCAACTCAAAGGGTGAGTTATTTTGGCACATAGCTATTTGATCTGATGGTATTTTTATTCTCCTCAAACCACTAAAAGTGGTGGGTAATCAGTCTTATTCCTAATCTCATCATATAAACATATCAAAGCTCTGAAATTGACTATATAGTTTGAGATTACAGGGAACTGACACATGTTGAGCATGGAGCAACACAGCAATTGCCCTGGAAAGGAAGCAGGAACCCCAACAGTCAACCTTCAAACAGCCAAACCTCTCACCTTGTGCCATCCCTTCAGAGGCCATTTTCGTTTCTTGAGCAGGTAACCTTCCTGCCTTTCAGGCTCCTGGATCGCCCCACCTTGTAGCTGCAGCTCATCCACCACCTCCCAGCTTTCTGAACCCTAAAATCCAAACACACACACAGAGAGACAAACATTAGAAACACTATGGAGAAGGGAAACTTTGGGAGGGACTCTGTGCTGTGCCTCAAAGGAACAAATAAAGGATAGTGCCAATTGTTAATTTCTAAACAAAAATGGCACCATCTCTGCTTCCAGGGACCACTCCCAGACTGTTCAAGGATGTAGCAGGGTAGGTTGTGGGGTTACACTATGGGGAGAAGTCACACCTGCCGAGCAATGCTGTGTTTGGAAGACACGGTGCTGTTGGAGCGGGAGGGTGGTGGTGCCCGTTTAGGAGAAGACGGATCTTTCTCATGGCTACCCATCCCTGGGGTGGCTGCTTCTCTTGCCAATGTCCCTTCTGGATGCCAAGGGATGGTCAGAAATGCACCTTTGGATCAAGACTTTCTTCTCATCTCTAGAGTTCAACATTCAGAAGGTTGCCTGAGGAGAGGACATAACAGATGGATTTCTCAGCAAAAGAAAATACAATGAAAATCAGAGCTTTCCACAGGAGAATACTGATAAGTCTTGTAACAATCGCATAATTAGTTTGAAGGAAGGAAAATTCACATATTCAAAACAAACTGAGCTTTATTTCAGTGTGCAAACAAAGGCTTAATTTGAATGTTCTCCCAGAACAGGATTTCTGTTCCGTTGTTATTTTCACAAGGGCATCATGACTGCTTATTTTTAGAGTAATAAATTGCTTCATCCATATCTGAATATTCTTATAGTAATACAATTGAGGGCTGTGCTGAGTTATTTTGCTGCCTGAGGCACAGAAAAAAGTGGTGCAGCCCATTTCTAGAGGTAAGGTTCAAGTTATTCCATCAATCAAGGCAGAATATTTCGAATCCACATCCCCACTTTTCTAAAAATAACTATACAATGATACGTTAAATAAATAATCATTTATTTCCTTTCGTGGCATCCCAAATCTTTCATCAGCCAGCTTAATGATAGGACCAGCCTGGGTAGGTATTGCCCAAGTCCCAGTGATCTTAGCATTCTTTTCCTGCCTTCAAAAAAGACCAAATTCCTAGTCTTCATTGAATAAAAAGTTTTAAATTTTAAAGGCTTTAGACATGAGAAGTGTAATAACATTTACATCGCAGGTGAATAAACTGTAGCTCCTAATTTCTTTTTCCAGTGCCTAGATGTCCCCAAAATCCCAGATCTTCCTTGTCTTCCACAGTTGCCCACCCCAATTTAGAAAGAAGACTTAGACTTACTCTGAAGTAAACATATATGGTATTTGCCATCTTTTCAGGATTATTTTAAAAGGAGCAATATCTAAAGATAATCAGGGGGGGAAGGCAGAAAGCTATTTTCTGATGCCTGGAGAGTTTTGTTTGTTTGGTTTTTTTTCTACGTCCATCAAGCTTCATTCAGGTTTTTCCCCTGTCTGGCCAGATATCATTCAGGACCCCTTTGGGCAATTATGACTAAAAGTTCTGATTTAGCTCTCAGGTTCCAAGTCAAACATAGTGAGGGTGGTTCTACACTGCCACTTAAACCGAGTTAGGATGTGGATTTAAAGGAACTGTTCCATTACAGAGTGCCAACACGATCTCTCCAGGAACAAGCTTCAGGCTGGAACAGTGGCCACAAATACCCACTGATTGAAGATGAATCCAAACCCAGGAATGATTTTTTTTTCTAATCCTGTCCATTGGGATGCACTGATGTGCATTGCCATGATCATTGGGAATAAACATTAGACCAGCCAGGGCACAGGAGATAAAGACAATGGGACAGAAAGCAATCATTCCCACAAAAATTAAGTTGTTTTCCTCTCTGGGGTCATGATTTGTTTGTTTACCTTCTTGTGAGTTGTCTTTTCAGATTTGCAAAATGCATCAGCGCTAGCCCTGTCCGAGTCCTTTGCATTTTTCAGTTTGCATGGCATATACACTGGCTTATTCTGGAATTTGCAAAGAGTGTTAACACTGTTTCTCCCGGATTCCTGCTTCAGTGCACATTTTGTAAACACCCAACCTCAAGTCAAATTTAAACTGCATTATAGTGCCTGTGTAGAACCACCCAGAGTCTGAATCACTGGTGATATGGAAACTCTATAGCAGCTGTCACAAGACATGTAACTGTTCAGATATTGCTGGTCCACAACTTCCCATACAGGAGGCATTATGGAAACTACTGTCCAGCAACATCTGTTTATACTTAATCAGGCGTTTCCTTCTTTGACTACCCAGCACTTTGTTAACAATTTGATGTTTTTGAAGGTGAATGTTCCACCCTTCTGTCTGATGGCAAAATATCTAATATTGGCTCTCATACTCAGATCCAGATATTTGACAGGTCTTCCCCCTCCCAATTTTATTTCCCGATTCATCTTGTTTCTTCCATTATCTAAGCCCAAAGTATGGCCCTAATTGTAAAAAAACACAGAAATACACCATCAAGCAAGTACACAATACAGATTTCCCCTTCATTTACCATGACTGATCTGGCTGCACAATTTGGATCCCCTTTCCCCAATTACAGAACATAGCAAAAAAAAAACCCTCATAAATCAGGACACATGCTTTTCCCAAAATAGACAACAGAAAGGTGGGGGAGAGAATCTGATTAGAAAGAAAAGAAGAGGAAGAGATCATAATGCCATATTTTTATGACAGATTGTCCCACCCCATCAATAGATGAATACCTTTGCCTCCACTAAGTCACCTTTGTATCTTGCCCTTTTATCAAGCTCACCTGCTCGCCTGCCAACCTTTTATTTCCTGGGCTGGCACAACAGCTGTTGTTTGTATAAAGGGCTCAACCACACCCATTTACATCTATCCTCCCTTAGCAAACAGGTTCTCAATTTGCAGCATGTTCCTCCTGAGCTTACCTATACAGGAGATAAAGTGCACAGGAATAAAGCCCAGAGTCTCTTGTTCCCTCTATATTTCAAGGTGAAATTCAAAGCAGAAGCATAGATAAAAGGTGACAACAATATATATATATATATGAATTTTGATTTCTCTTTCATGCAATCTGGGTTGCCTGAAATAAAGAGAAGGAAGCTAATAAACAAAACCTGAGTTGCATTCAGAAAAAGGTCGAGAGTCTGAAAGGGTTTAAGATATGGATTTTTTTTTTACCATTCGTATGTATACATCTACGCTATAGAATTAATGTAATTTTTTTACAATATCACTTCAATCACCAATGTTATGGAATCATGGGAGTTGTAGTTTTATAAGTCTGCTAGCTTCTCTACTAAATAGTACTGGTGCCTCATCAAACTACAACTCCCATGATTACACATCATTAAGCCATGGAAGTTAAAGTGGCATCAACCTGCATTAATTCTAAAATATAGATGCACTCTACATCTACCATAATCTTTCGGCCAGCTAGACCAATAAACTCTGGTTTGTGATTAGCTGTGGCTTAACCGAAACCATTCAACTTAAAACAATGGTTTAGGATGCTGGCCTTTTTAAAAATAGGTTATAGTTTCAATGTAATGCTAGACTATGACTTATACAAAACAAAAATGAAAACTTCCAGTTGCCTTGGGTGGAGTATGTGAGCACAAGGCTGATTGAGGAGTCTTTCTACAAAGTCACACCAAAGGAACTACACAGCTGCAATACTGTTGTTTATTTTATTTATTTATTTATTCATTTACTATATTTGTATATTGCCCTTCTCAGCCCTCAAGTCACTTCTGATTTATGGAGGTCCTAAGGTGAACCTATGACAGGTTTTATTGGCAAGTTTTTTTTCAGAGTGAGTCTGGTCTTTGCTTCCTTCTGAAGCTGAGACAGTGTGCCTTATTTAAGGTCACACAGAAAAGCATCAGAAATCAACATCTGGAAGTAAGGAGGTAAATGCAATGCTGTTATCAGTAATAGTTGCACTTTTATGAATCAAGTCAGATTGAAAAATAATGTCACAAGCCAGATAAAAATTACTTTACTGGTATAATAAGTCACAGCTTTTAGTTAATTCCAAAAGTATTTGAAGACACCTAGCAGCATAACACACAATGTTTTGGTTCTCCCAGTGCTTTATCAGCACTGGGTTGTTTGGAAATTGATTCCTTTCCCAAATGGAAAGACTCCATTAATCATCCTGCATCATGATAAGAATTAATAGCCATTTTGGATGTTACTGTTTCATTCTGTTTAGTTGTAACATTGGGAGCATTGTGGACACATTGTGGGAGTATTTTCATTGCTCCTTCCTTTGGGATTCCCGAGCATCTCCTTTGGAAATCCCGGAATACTGCCAGCAATTGGACTGAAAATACACTGGGATCCCCAAGAGAGTAGCTGTACGTTTATTCTCCATTCTCTGGCATATGTTTCTATATTATATTAAATTATATGCATTTTTAATAAGGGAAGTAGAGCAGTACTGCCATTACAATGAAATCCTATTAAGATTAATGTCCAAAAGAACCACAGGGATCAGGGGGAAAAATTAAAGACTAAAAATTAAAGATGACAATGTTTAAAGAAGTGGTTCCCATCTTTCCTAATGCTGCAACCCCTTAATAAAGTTCCTCATGTTGTGGTGATCCCTAACCATAAAATTATTTTCATTGCTACTTCATAACTTGTAATCTTGCTACTGTCATGAATTGTAATGTAAATATCTGATATGCAGGATGTATTTTCATTCATGCGACCAAATTTGGCACAAATATCCGATATGCCCAAAATGGTGAAGTTGGAGTGGATTGATTTTGTCATTTGGGAGTTGTAGTTGCTGGGATTTGTAGTTCACCTACAATCAAAGAGCATTCTGAATTCCACCAAAGATGGAATCAAACAAAACTTGGAACACAGAACTCCCATGACCAACAGAAAATACAGGAAGAGTTTGGTGGGCATTGACCTTGAGTTTTAGAGTTGTAGTTCACCAACATCCAGAGAGCACTGAGGACTCAAACAATGATGGATCAGGGCCAAACTTGGCACTAATCCTCAATATGCCCAAATGTGAATACTGGTGGAATTTGGGGAAAATAGACCTTGACATTTGGGAGTTGTAGTTGCTGGGATTTATCAAAGAGCATTCTGAACTCCACCAATGACAGAATTGTGCAAAACTTCCCACATAGATCCCCCATGACCAATAGAAAATAATGTTTTCTGATTGTCTTTGGCGACCCCTCTCACACCCCCTTGTGATTCCCCCAGGGGTCCCGACCCCCAGGTTGAGAAATGCTGGTTTAAAGAGTAATATACAAAAGCAGAAATAGGAAAGTGTTCATTCTCATGGAAAAAGCATGTGTAAACAATTGCAGAAGTAGCATGGTATGTGTTCATCTTCCCACCCTGGGCTGAGAATAGAAGGATTCAAATGATTATATATTTGTGTGATTTTGTCTTCCTGATTTAAAAAAAAACAACAACAAAAAACAAAACCTACCAGTTATGGAGTAGGAGGCAGAGCAAACAGGATGGTATCAATGATAC